GGGATCCAGAGCCTCTTATTATCTCCAGAATAATGTGACTTAGTATCTCGCTTGGCGTGGACAACAGCCTTGGATCATACAGTTTCCGGTAGTGGCATGAGTCAACCTTCCTTGGTAGCTGGAAAAGTGGGCGTTCTTCCAGTCACAAGGTGCCTTTCCCTCTTTCCACACCTGCGGCAGTGGTTTCACACGACTACTTGAAAATCAACTTCAGAAATTTCCTTTGTTCATTCACAAGGATTTCTTCATTGGTGCTACGTAATATCTCCAGCTTTGTTCTGATCGCTGAAGTGGAGGTACCCTCTGTAGTAAAGTCTTTCGATTGATGAGTTTTAAACTCGAATTCCAGTCCGTCTGCAGTTGTTCCGGTGGTTTTCGGTTTGACCTTGAATGTTCCATGGACTGGATAACAGTTTGAGCGTACGTATGCCCTCCACCTCTACTTTGTTTCCAGTAGGCTGCGTCTCCACTTTCTTGAGATTGAGATGAAGTCTACGTGATCAGTGATGTGTCCGTCAAATGAAATCCATGTATCTTGCCGCACCTATATGCCTGTGCTTGTACACGCCACGTCGAATCGCCAAATCACTGAAGTCTGTGAAGAGTTCTCCGTTATCATTAGTTCCCCCAAGAGCATGACGACCCATGGTGATTTCTCCTATTGTATTATCTGCTCCCAGTTTAGCATCCATGTCTCCCATGAAGATTTCGATGTCGCCATTTGGGCTGTTGTTCATTGCCATGTGCAGTAGGGCTGCCTGTATACGGCCGTAGGTCATTTGATCAGCTGGTGTCTACAGGCTATATTTATTTTAAAAAACCCCAAAATTAGGTAATTGTTCGTTGTTTCACACACTTTTACGCTTGTTTTCCTGGTGAATAAGGCGTTTTTTTAGCATAAACAGCAAGTGATGTTGTCCTTATCCGACCGTAATTTACAGCTAGTTTACAAATGGTTGAAATACGTAGTGTTTCGTTGATAAAATGCCCAATCATTTAAAGGCACACATCATAACGACTTTTAGTCATGTTTTTCAGTTCAAAGGATGAAACACATACATGATGAGGTAGGCTAGTTCGTTTTGTTAGTTATTTTCACTTACTTTGTTGTTTACTTTAGGTGATGGTGTCAAAGGTCCTCCACATGTACCTATTTAAAGAAATCTACAGAAATACTCGGGAGTTATTTTCACATGTTATTTACTTCTAATATTGCATAGATTTGGTCTTTACATGCAGATGCAATGTCCATTCTATCTGCTTGAAAAATATTGAATGACGCAAGTATACCCAATTTAACTCATTGTCTAGTATTTTCTATCACTTAAATTTATAGTGGTAATAATGTCTACACCTTTTGATTGCTTAATTTCTTTTTCAGGTGATAGCTGCTTTCGGGGATTTCATGGAGTTGGGTGTTGAAGAAGATTTTCGCAGTTTCATCGATTTTGTAATACTTGTTCATTCATTAATAAATCTATTCCTCGTTATTCGTTTGTATATTCTGCTTGATAAGACCGAATATTAGCCCCTGCGTAAATTGTGAGGTACAAAGTATATGAGGCTATCTTTGAAATACTAAGCAAGAGTAGGTATTCGGAGAATCCTGTTGCTAAAAAGATTATGTTGCAGTCAAATAAAGTAAATGTGTCCGAATCTCAGAGAAGTTATTGTGATTATAAAGTTCTCCGAGTTATCTGTCGTCTTAGCGGAACACATAAACTTCGCGATTCATAGTCACAAAGTGAAAATAAATCTGCCTGAGATAGTGTGCTAGTGATTACCACATGTCTGTTAGACTTATAACTCAGTGCAACTACGGTTATCATAATAATTAAAAACAGAGTGCATACGGTTCGCAGCCATAGAACAAGGTAAGTTGCTATCTGTACATCTAATCGCGTAAACCAAAGTTTCCCAGATGCCGTATTTACTCCTAACAGTTTGCCCTCAATTCCTACATTAGCACGTGACTAGCGTTACTGGAACACAATCGCATTACAACAGAAGGAACTCACATTCATTGAAAAGTTGTTTATTAAACAAAAAAATATTTCAGATGTACACATAATTCAGATGAGTAGTCCTCTGTTACTGTCAGTAGGTTCCGTCTGCGTACACAGCACAATAATGTTTCTCCATAAGTCTGAAAAGGTTTAGGAATAGCATTAATAACCTGAATAGTACATGTATAATCTGAATAAAAATTTTTCCTGATAAGCATTCAAAAGTAATCACTTTACAAACAATTTATGTAAGTAGCTAAATAGTTTTCACTAAACTAAAGGGATTTCGCAATTTATCGTTGGTCGATATCTAGTAGGTCCATCGTAGCATCATGAAATGATAAAATTATTTAACGACAAGTTATACAGTAGTTTCCAAAGCTTGTAGAAAAATTTTAATAAAAATGACAGTGTCTTTATGACAAATAATAAGTCTTGACAGCAATAATGATAATAACGTTCATATTCAGTTAAATGTATCACTTAATCTTATGAAGCAGGCGTTTACTTACTTTCACTGTATTCTCGCAATACTGATGTGGTCAACCAGCTTATTCCAAATGAACTCAAGATTAATTCTGAAAGTGAATGGAGATACAGTTTTTGTCAGATAAAATCGTGTAGCCTACATGTATTATACTGTCTACTTTAACGTTTGATACCTGCTTTCCGATCTTCATGACAAGAATACAGTATATGTAGGTATACCTACATATAGATAAGTATACATATTTGCTGCATCAACCATGCTGTTTTTATCATGATTAACCAGATCACTGTGTATTCCATACTTATTAAAGGATCTCAGAAAATAATAGTCAAGCGATAATTGAAGTTGCATGAAGTTATTACCTCGTCGGAACATTGTTTGCATTCTTAACACTCCTGCGAAGTCCTTCGACTTTGATATGGAATGAATTCATTGAATTCAGCAAATAAATCCTCTCGTATATCATTTACATCCTGAGCTGTAATAGTATGTGTTGTCAGTTGACTTGATAAAGGACTGCTGAAAATTGCGAACTTAACCAAGCAGCTAAATGATGTTTGAAGTTACCGCAACCCGAATGAGAAACTGGCCAATCACAGGCGACCAAAACACTTGTTTGTCTCACTCGCAGGCACATGAAATTAAGGCCGTCGACTGTCTAATTCACTATGCACAATGGGGTTCCTGGGCACAAAAGCTCTTAAAATCCCTTAACAGCTGTTCAGTAACCCCCTAAATTTTGACTCCCTGCCTTCTTGTGTGATGGTCTGTATATCGTCTGCGGTAACTTGGAGTATTCTACTAACTGAAGGTAACACAGTCAGAATATCCAGTAATCACTGGTAGGTCCAAAGAAAAGATTGTCGAAGAAACAACTGTTAGTTATGGCATCTGGTGTAGATCATGATGCTATCTGGGCCAGTGTGACGACCAAATACATCGAAAATGAATGCCAAATAATCCAATGAGAATACGAAAAACTGAAATATCTCCACACAAAAACGGAGTGAGTTATGTCCTGTTCGTTGAAGAAATTATCAATGGCAGTTCCGAAGCTGTTTTAGATACCACTACATTGAGGGTGCCGTTAAGATGTCTAATTATTCCTGACAAGCACTATATTAAGGTACTTATCTTCTGATATATGGTGTGTTGCTTTGTCTTGAATCATAGTCGATCATTTCGATACAATCCACAGTATGTCTTATTAGCCAGCATTTCTCGGAGCTATCCAACTGTTATGCTTTATAAATGAGCGGTAGCTCAATGGATTTGGAAAACAGGTTCCACAGTCCACAACGTTAAAGACATCAGTTAATACCTTGCTTATGAGAACGCGCGCTTTCAGGGACTAGTGGTAATCAGGCTTTTGGAGAAGAACATTTTTGTCAAATGCAAGTGTAGGCCCTTCTGTGGCACATGGAAATAATTTAATAATTCCCACTGTAGAGTTAAGGACACAAAATTCAGCGAAAAGACTCTCTTCATGAATTTATTATCAAGCTGTACAATCGTATATCTGTGGTTTTTAAGAAATTATATCCGGCGAGGGAATTATATGAAAAGTGTGAACACATGAAATAATAATAGTATGAAATGCAATTAAATTAATACCATTTGTTATTACTATTCTCACTTTGAATTGTCTCCTCTTGTCCCACTTGTCATTCTAAATCCAAAATTATAATTATTTTGATTTTACAATATTCAATTCTATCTTATCGAATTTCACACCATATTATGTAACATTTTACATTCGCCTACTAATCTTATAGTTAAGCACCGCTTTTTAACAACTATACACCTTATGTAATATTCCATATATGAGAATAACTGTTTTGCTACTTGACATTTAACTATGATTATAGTCACAAATATTTTAATTACATTTCATACTACTATTATTACTTCATGTATTCACGTATTCATTTCCCTCACCGGATGTAATTTCTTAAAAGCCATATATATACGATTGTACAGCTTGATGATAAATTCGTTGAAAAGAGTCTCTTCGCTGAATGTGTTCTTAATGCATGGAAAAGCTTTGGAACTTACAGGAACTGACAAGGGGCAGGAAGCAGTCGTTTATTAACGCCAGATGACAGAAGACTGCTGCTAAATTTTAAATTCAAAACATCTATTTTTAAATTATTGGTGACTCTAAATTATAGCAGCCCGAAATGAAACTACTGAATAAACGGTTTGATGACCTCCTGTGAGAAATTGGGGGGTTCCTGTAACACTTGCAAGAATATCAACCTTTTTAACCATTTTTAATATTGTATTACTTGTATATAGACGTCTATTTTAAATTACGTCTTTCCACTTCTGATGCATCTGACTGGACGTTAGAGGTGGTTTCGTCTCGACTTTCAGTTTTTTAGAGTCACCAAAGCATCACTTACTTCGCTGCAGTTTGATCTCCTGAAGATATGTAAGCAACAACATAAGCGTATAATATGGGCAAAGTTTCGCGGTCGTTTTAATTCATCGAGAAGATATTTTGAGGTCATATGGGCGGTCGGTTAGGTCTTGGCGCGATTTAGGTGAGTGTCATGTTTAAGATTTATTCAGACAGTAACTCAAATTTGAAATATATCATGTATGGGACTTGTATATTTATTTTAACTTTAAGAATACCTCTTTTGATGGTTCGGGAAGTTGAAATGAGCAATGTAAGGCTATCTGTGGATATGTTCTGTACAACTGGGATGAGCTGATTTGTTTATAATTAGGTTTTCCAACGACTTATTAAATGTTTCCCTAATATGATCTTTTTAATATGTATATTGCACGTCTTCGGTGTGTTGTAACGTTGAATGTGACTGACTGCCTATCAACTGAGAACCTCTCGCAGAAGTGAAGCAGTTCAAGTTGCCGTACTCCATATAACCCTAAAATGTAATGGAAAGGGAATAAAGTTTTTTTTTGAATCTTTATGGGTGGAAATATTAGTATGTAGGAATAATGGTAAAGTTCAACAATGATTTGACTTAAAAATACGTTCCTGTTATAAGGAGTAGTTTCAGGTGCTAAATTAGACTAGTTTTTGTACATGTATTCACCGAGGTGTTTAAAGATGAGCTGTATTTGTAAATCGTTTATCTCTTTTGTTGTGCAGTCTTCCACAAAAGCCCTCGGTTGGATTAATAAGGTTTCCAGTAAGAGGATCGACGACTACTTACCGGGGAAGTGTGGATAATAAAAGAAATTAAGATAAATAACATCAACTCCAAATCTATCCCTAATCGTAACCACTAAGCTTAAAACCAGTACTAACCTGAATCCTAACTTTAATTACAACCCTTATCCCAATCATAAACCTAACCCTAATCCAAAATATGACCGTAATCTTAATCTTAACCCCTATACTTACCTTAACGCTAACGAGCTACTCACACATTGTCCAAACAGTAATTATAAACGTGATCTGGGTGAAATTTGCTCCTTAGTTGGTGGATGGCGTTGATATTTCAGCTATACTGTTCAAGTTTATTCGAGCGTTCGCATTCCTGAGACGCCTATCTGTGCCGTTTCAAGATGTTAGTGAGTAGCCTTCAAAATGGTTGTCCCCAATGCGATATCTAACAGATATCCTGAAACCGTGTGCCGCGTTCAAGCTGGCCACTTACACTGTTGGTAAGAACATTGGAAAACCTCGCTATCGATGTCTTCTGCATTTCGGAGACCCGCATTCAAGATCCCACTCGACGCCTAACCTCAATATTGCTCACCTTATTATGCTACTTCACACGGGAGATAGAACGCAGACACCTATGATCAAAGACAACTCATCTTTTCATGTCTTCCACTCTCGATGACCCGGTCTCAAGGCCATGAAGGAGGAGCGGACTGCTGAGCAGTACACACGCCCTTTGGTCGATAGCCGGATATCACGTCTACGCCAGAGATGGTGTAAACTGGCATATGCGAAACGAGCCTTCTGCATCCGTTCTGAGATTTCGTCAGCGATCAACCCGTTGGCACTGGCTGATGCAACTTCCCAAATAATTGAAGCGGCCAACGTGCTCTACCACTTCACTTCCTATTTCTAATCTAGGAGTCGGTGTAGTCCAATCCTGTAATATCATCATGCATTTGGCGGGAGCAAATCGCATGCCAAACATTCGTAGATTGCAGCTCAAGGTTTTCAGAAAACTCTGCATTTAGTCAGCGTCCTCGCCTAGAAGGACAATATCGTCTGCATATTCTAGCTGTTCGCAAACCTTGTGTACCTTATACAATTACTTAATATTCATTTTCTGTTGATTTAATTAACATTCTTATGTCCTCGATTTCCGCTTACCATCTTACCGTGCACTTTTGGTAGACTAGCTAACTGCTGAAGTTATTTACTGAAATATGAAAATGATAGGAATGAAGATGTTAGTCAACACTTCTCAAAAACCGAGAGTTACAAGTACATTTAAGGAGAGAAATCAGTGACTTTTATTCATAAAATGAAATTGGAAAGTAATTAAAGTGACTAATAGAGTGACCCGAATAAAGTTAATCGAGCTTCCAAATTACCTAGTGTCCGATCAAAGTGTTCATCACAGTCCTACATGAGGTCAATGATGACGAGCTCGAGCAGTCCAGTGGTGACGTTTTTTGACTGCAGCACTGGCTGACCGAGGCTTGAATTGCAGAAGGGAGACAAGAATCCCTTCATGATAACAGATACGCCCTGGTGACAAGTGCCAGCAAGCACGAAACCTAGGGCCAAGGATTCTTGTGGATAGCCTCCAACCATTCAGCAACAATTTTCGGAATGCACCGTGATGGAGAGCCACTTGGGATGGTGGCCACACTACAAACTTGATTGTGATAGAATTCAGTCTGCACCGAACGAAATACTGAACGCATGGTATTAGTTACTGCCTAGTGTCCAATCAAACTACACGCCTGTCTAGTCATAAAAAATGTATGTAATACATTATAAACAATGGAATAATAACTGCATCATACTTCACAGTCTGCTACATTCATCGGATGTTTGCAAGATACCCTGGTTGAGATATCAATACAAAAATCTGCTTCTAGTCTGTCTTACTAACTTATGAATTAAGATATCATATTCAGCAACAACGGACTGATCGACGACGAAATCTCAGCACGGATCCAAAAAGCTCGAGCTGCTTTCGCTAGCTTGCGCCATCTCTGGCGTAGGCGTGACATCCGACTATCAACCAAGAGACGTGTGTACTGGTCAGCAGTTCACTCCGTCATTCTCTATGGCTCTGAAACATGGTCAATACGAGTTGAAGACATGAAAAGGTTGACTTTTTTTGATCATAGATGTCTACGATCTCTTTCTCCCGTTAGGTGATTTAATAAGGTAAGTAATGTTGACGTTAGGCGTAGAGTGTTGGGCAAAGAGGGAAAATCAATCGAAAGGGCTATAAAGTTACATAGATTGATATGGCTAGGTCACGTGCTGCGCATGCCTAACCATCGCCTCCCCCTCCCGACGGGCATTACTAGCTGATATAGGTGCAGGTTGGAAAAGAGTAAGCGGTGGCCAAACAAAAACATGGCATCAATCCATGAAATCCTTGACAGTTAAACTGAGTCAGTCAGATAGGGAGATGCAGACTTCCGGGTTGGGGCCCGCCTTCGGGACTCTACGAATCAATGGCTGGAGACAATAGGTGACATGGCTCAAAATCGTTGTCAATGGCTTACGCAGATGTATTCAGTCTCTGTAATCTTTCATATTCCTTTCTACCGTTACTCATTCTGTTTCACTCGTGTACTAGTCAAAACTCTATTGATTCTCTTCACTCGTTTTCTTGTCTACCTTTCTGTGCTATTTGGAACTTGGCAACTCGAACTGCTACATTTCGCTGCCAAGTTCTATGTTGAATCCAGACAGACAGACAGAGATATCATAATCATTATCAACGTTAAAATGTGTGACAACTTGATAATGTGCATCTAAATTGTTTTTCAGGTTATCCTATATAATTTGAACTAATCTACTACTCGGCTGACAATTAGTGGAGTGAAGAAGGAAGACATTTCAAGAGCTTGTCGATATGAATCCAGCATTGCAACGAAAACAATTTGCCTCTAAGGAAAAAGTATTTTCTCCTTTAAAAAAATATTTCTATTTTTCAGCTGTTTCATATCCTCACTGAATTTCAAGCTCTATTTACATCCCCATTTCGACTTTCCGAAGCGACTAGATGGTGTGAAAGCTATTTCAAACGTAATGGGGGTAATGTTGAAGCTGTCGGTGTGTTCTTGGACTTTATCTTGAGCCTTGGCTTCATACATTTGATCGATCAGGGCATTTTCTCCCACAGATACGCGTAAGTCAATAATTTAATTTTTTTTCTACTCTTTCAGCTTCAATGTAGAGAGAATGAATGAATTCTTTGGAAGCTGTTCGCAACCGGAAAACCAAAAGCCTAAAAATGGTTAGTTTTTTATGACTTTCTACAAAATTTTTATCTTTATAATTGCAAAATCAAAAGATGTTTTCTACTGAATTAAAATGTAATTGGTTTCAAGTGCTCTCCTAATTTTTGCATTTGTATGCATTAATTTTGTTTTCCTTTAATCTCCTTATGAAAAGAGATCACCTATCGGTTTCTGTTTCTTTTGTTATTATGTAGATAAAAATCCAGAGAAAAATGCTGATCAGTCAGTTGAACAGTCTTTAGACGGTTCTTTAGATATATCGATTCATTCTTGGCTTGAAGGTAACTGTGCCAAGTCAACGTTGACCAATGCAAGGTCTCACTTATGGTTCGATGAAATAATTACACGGTAAGTTGACTCCACTGAATTATATTCATCAAAGGATGCATAAAACATTTGCAGTATTCTTTTTTTTTTTAAAGCTGTTAATATTATGTGGATATATAAACTGAAACAAAGTGAAGCGTATTTTCTGTTGTTGTTTTTTTTGTTTTGTTTACCAAACTGTACATCAGTACAAGTTAGCGCAGTTCAGACACAGCAGGTAGGCATGACGAACAAAAAGTGGAATGGAACTAAGATAAGTCGAAAGACCGAAAGTAGATGAGTTAAGAACAATAAATATTCACCAGTTGGTTCAGCAAGAAGTATGCATAGTGTGCTTTACTTATTGACACCGGTGTTATTGCATAGGATCTAATGTACATGCGTGATGAATGTTATAATAGTATAATAAATATGTGATTTTGTAATGTTGTTTAAGGGTAAGGTATAAACGCATGATTTTCCTGATTGCAGTAGATTGGATAATGCGACAAACAGCGGGCAATGAGGAAACAGGCATAAAATGGACTCACACAAAAAACTTGTAGGATCTGGACTTCGCCGATGATATTTGTCCGATTTCCCACAAACTGGAAGATATGCAAGCGAAAAGCAACAAGTTGGCAGAAGAAGCATCAAAGATAGTGAGGACTTCAGGTGAACATAGAGAAAACAGAGGTGATGAAGATTCCTGGCCAACACCATCAACAGCAACAACAACAGACAACAATCAGCCATCATAAATATGAGGAACCCGAAAGAAACAACCTCCTTTACTTACCTACCTGGGAAGAATCGTTTCAACTACAGGTGGAACTGACCAGGATATCAAAGCAAGAATCGGAAAAGCAAGACAAGCTTTCACTACTCTCAAGTCTGTGTGGAGGTCAACAGCACTCAGCATCAAAAATAAGATCCGGACTTTCAACTCCAATGTGAAATCAGTGCTACTCAACATACGGATCAGAGACTTGCACTGCGCGTCATAAAGAGCATCTCAAACAAACTACAGACCTTCATTAACAGTTGTCTTAGCTCAATACCACTCAAGATCAGATGGCCGGCCAGAAAAGATCAGCAACAGAGTGGGATCTCTGTCAATGAGCGAACCAACCTAGCAGGAACCGACTGTGAAACAAATAGGCAGGAAGAAATGGAGATGGATTGGCCATACTCTGAGTAAAGAAACCATCAAGTGACATCACTAGACAGGCCATTGCTCGAGTGGAACCCGAAAGGGAAGCGGTGAGTTGGTCGTCAGTGCAAGGGTGACTTGGAGGAGGTCATGTGAAGAGGAGATGAAAGCGTGTGGGTGGCAGACTTTGATCCAGGTGAAGACTCTAGCAGAGAACCGAACACAATGGAGACGCGTGGCTGAAGCCCTATGTTCCTGTAGGAATTAAAGGAAACAATAATAATAATAAATGCATTTACGTCAGTATGATATATATATTTCGTTGTATGTCACCCAGATTCGGTAACCACAAGTCCCGGTGGTAACAGCTTAGACCTGGAATCACGGGCTCCATGGATTGATACTGTTTATTGACTTGACCATCTTTCATCTAATTTAATCCTACTTCTGCTGATATAACACGTCAGGGTAACTTTAATTGGCTTAGGTGATTGATGTTTCAGTTGGACATTAATTTCTATATGTAAGCGTTGGGTATATGGAGTAGTAGTTTCTGAATTCCGTGTTTGACAATACAGGGTGTCAAATTCTTTGGCATGTATTACTAATGAATTCCTACAATGTTGTCAACCAAAAGTTATCTGCATCAAGGTCTCAAAAATTTTCATTGGGATGTTTTTAGTCTATTATGGCTGTTGACGTCGTACTGTTTTCCAGAACATTACATATATTTCGCTCTGCTGCCTCATTCATGTGACCGCTATATTTCATGATCATTGTTGAGAGTGTGAACATATCTCCACAATAGTGAAGGGAGAAAGCTGCGAAATCAACTCAAAGTTATCTATTACTCCGCTGGGTTCCGAGTGGAACATAGGGCTTTAACAAAACACCTCCACTTTGTTCTATTCGGTGTTGTCGTCTTCAGCTGGGTCCACGATTGCCTATAATCTCTCATCGCCTCCACCACCCAAATGATCTCCTCCATGTCACTTTCTCCGTGACGACCCAGTCGTCGCTTTCCATTGGGATTCCACTTGAGTGATGACCTGCATTGCGCGCGATGTCATTCGACGGTCTCCTCAGCGTATACACGATTCATCTCCAATTTCTCCTACATATTTGTTGAACAATAGGCACTTGGTTGGTTGGTTTGTTGCCAGCCAGCCAGAGTTTCTTGTTGCTAATTATTTCTGATCAGCCGGTCGACCATTTGATCTTCAGGGAGGAGCTGTTGATAAAAGTCTGCAATAGGCTGTTAGAAATCGTTTTCGTGACATGCCCACCAAGTTTCTGACCCGTATAGAAGAACTGTCTGACTTAACATTTGTGTTGAACAGAATCCGAATCTTATTGTTTATGCTGAGGTGGAGTGCAGAAGATTTCCAAACTGGTATCAGGTTGATGAGAGCGTGCATATCTTGCCTTTCCAATTCTGGCTGGCTGGCTGGCTGGCTTCGATATCTTCATCCGTTCCACTGGCTGTGGTTGAAACCGTGCTTCTTAGCCGGATAATTGAAGGAAGTCACTTCTGTCAAATCTCTTCCGTTGATGGTGATTGGTGCTGGTTGTTGTTATGCATCGGTGGCATAGCGGTTAGGACGCTCGCCGACGATGCACATGGTCCGGGGTTCGATCCCCGGCCACTGACGCACTCCTTTACCTCGCTAAGCCAGAAATAATGCTGGTGAAGAGTAAAGGTTGGGTATGAGGCTAGCAACCCTATCCTGTAAAATAAACACTGCTACAGAAACTTCAAGCCACTAGCTTGAAGCCCTATGTTCCACTGGGGAACGTGAAGGAAAAAATATAAATGAAGGAAAGAAGTTGTATGTGTGAGTGACTTGATATGATTATGAGTGGCAATAGTTTGTGCTCGAAACGTGTTCATCAGTTAATATTACTGTATAACACTGTGTGACTTATCAAAATAAAATCTTATCCATAATCGAGTTATTCTCTACCACCACAGTGCCCAAGTTTTATACTTATATCAAATCTGGGCTTTAGTTTAGTTTTTTTTCTTTTCTAAGCGATTCATTATTTCTGCTTGTCAGTTATATTGTTATTTGAAGTTCAAGTGACGTGTTTGTTTATTATGTGTTGTTGATATATGCGTTTAGACGCTTACATTTCTTACATTTCCATATCACTTTTTACGTTGTACACTTTTCTCAATCTTTAGGTTGTCTTGTTTATTGGATACAGACAGGGATGAATTGATTGTACTCATAGAACAGTCGGAACCGTCTATTTCTGATTCATGCACATCATCGTCTCCAAAAATGAACAGCTCTCTACCAGATATGGGTACTGCGGCTTACACTAATAGTTTGGCATCTGAAAAGTGGCATCGGTACTTAAAGAATGCAACCGGTGAACTGGTTGACTTAGTTGCTGTTGCCGCTCTGGATGCCTTATCGAAATGTAGGCAAATAAAATTGTAAAATCACTATTCACATATATATATAGGGCCAGATAATTTTTCTCATCGACCTGGGTTGTGCGAAAACAAGTGCTCACCAAGTTCACTTTTGTCTATCGCAATATCCTATGTGGAAGATTTTGAGTCATCTGTCCCCAAGCCAACTGAATTATTGTTGGATTTCATTTTTAGTAAGTTGTTTATAGTTTTTTTTACTGTCGTCTTGTATAATATATATATATATATTTTCCAGAAACGGTACTAGTGGTACAGTGTGGAATTTTCAGCACATATCTACAATATTTGCATCTAATTTTATCAAACATTTGAAAGGAGTATTTCAAAAAATAAGTATAAAGACAACAACAACAAAAAAACAAAAATAAAAAAATGCGAAAAAATACCAAGAAGTAGAAAGGAAAATAAACAACATAATAAATAATATCTCAGTATTGGATAGTGGAAGCTATGATGTGATTATACATGGTGACAGTAAAGCTGTAGTTATACAAGAAGTTATGAAATGATATTTAAGAATGTTTATCGCCAAGATGATCAGTTTATTTAGATTGAAACAACACTAAACAATCATAAAATAACATCTCAGGGTTGTTTTTTTATCAGGTCTGATGCGGTGTTTGTAGTGGTAGTGTGAGTAGTCCTGCATAATACAAAATTTTAAGATGGTGATAATGGCTTTCAAAACCAAGACTGTCAGTTAATATTGCCGAACAAAAAAGTAGCAATCACAAAACTAATAATTACATGATGGTTAATGACAGGACAATTTTGTACTACTCATAGTGCTAATATAGTCGGAACCATTAGATACACAAAGGAAGGAATACAGTAAAGTACAAAAAGTAAGCCAATGTTAATAATTTAGGTAGCCAAGTATGTTTAAGAAGGAGTTCACTATAGAATATAAAATGAGAGAGAAATAAAAGAGCCTAAAATTATGTTGTTAACAACAAAGCAAGTCATAGGTTTCGCGCTTAACACGGGCCAAATATGGTATCGTTGAGTTCCTGTACTTGGTTATACGAGCATAGATTATTTTATACTGATTTCTGGTTCTACTTGATGAGATACAAGGCGAGAGTTGGGAATAGAGTCAGTATACGAGACAAACCATTTGCCTTATATTGCATGAATTTTCAATTCAAATATCCGGCAAGAATGACTGTTGTGCGTTAACATCAAAGTGCAAATTCAAACATTACTCACTGGGTTTTGTGCTTTTCATCATTAACAGTTGTGAATTATTGTGTATTTGTTATTGTATGTATTGGAACAGCGACTTAATCGCTTAGTACAGGCTACTTACTCTCTGTTTATTAGTCTGTTAGTCTCAGCATGTTATTTTTATCCAGATTAAAGTAGATGGAGTGGAGGCTGAATCGCGAAACCCATTAGTTGGATATAGAGTGGGATTTAGTCGGGTGCAAAGTTCTATGTCGAATAAAGACAGACATTTATATACATGTGTGGAATCAATTGGATGTTGAAATAAAAATCAATATGTCATGATGTACATTCAGAAATAATAATATGAGTGTTATTGATCAAATAAAATCAGATGGGAAAGAAGACGAGTGTTAGAATGTTGTGATGTACGTGATTGAATTGAAATAGAATACAATTTAAGATTATTTATTATCCTCCTCTGATTTGACTGAATGGTGGTGGTCATGTTGTCATTCGAACGTGAAAAAATTGTATTCGTCAATCAAAAAAAAAAAGAAAAAAAATCTTCTTACTTATCATTAATTCCTACTTTATTATTTTTGAATGCATCTGCTTTCAGGTAGTTGGTCCAATGCGAACCTTTTAGCAACTATGAATGGTCTACTGAAGAGCTGGATTAATAATAATAATAATAATCATACACCGAACAAAAAGAGTAATTATTATCATTATTGAAAACATTCACTTTCAAAATTTAATAATATAGATTCGAATAGTAATGAAAGGGATCGCCGAGATTTCCCACTTCCACCTTTGGCCTCACCCGTTGTAGACAGAAACAGAAACAATGCATTAAGCGGTATTCGTAGAACACCGTCATCCCCCACTATACTCAAACCTTCTATCAGTAATTCAAGTAAGTGAACATCACACTTTTATCCTTTCGGTAACTACTACTACTGTTACAATAGGTTAAATTAACAAGTAACAGGTCATATTTTAAAATTTAATCTAGGTGTTTATGTGAGATCCAATCTGGTGGACATTATTATTATTATTTTATTATTTACTAACTGAACATTTCAGTTAACTTACGTGTGTTAAGTTGTCAGCTAACGCTTGCATCCTTCTGCATATGCGCTTTGATTTCAGTGTAGTTAAAGAGCATTATGGGTAAATTTTGTTTTGATAAAGTCTCACAGTGTTATACAGTAATGTTTACTGATGACCACGTTTCGAGCACAATTTATTATTGCTCATAATCATATCAAGGTAATCACACGACTTCCTAAATTCACTTATATAGCTCCATTGTTTTTCACTTGATTTGATTGGTAGTAATATTTTTCATATTTCTGGTATGAGTGACGAATCATTCCTATTGCATGTGTTGTGTTGGGTGTAGATTCGATGAACAAGGCTGGATTCAGTAATCAACCTCTCTCTATATATATCCACCTACCTAGATTACTTTTTAGAATAACTAGTAATGATAACATAAATAAGAGAGAATGTAAGTCATCTACGATCATTTCATATAAAGAGGGGACATCTGAGACCCTACGTAGGATTCTAAATAAAGCAGGAATTAGAGTGGCATTTATACCTACAAACTCACTCAGGGACAAGCTCTGTAGGTTAAAGGACCCTGTCGGTTGACCCAAATAGACAAAATAATATAATTTACAAAATACCCTGCAATGACTGTGAGTAAGGTCAACTACATAGGTGAAACCAGTAGTCAGATTGTCGGAACGTAAGAATTTAGCTGAGGTGAGAATGGTTGACCCAGAGAAAATAAGTAATTTAGAAAAAAGCTCAGCAATTGCACTGCATGCATTAACACACAACCACACAATAGCATAGTGGGTGGGAGAGGGTTAAAATTCTAAAAAGTAATATAGGTAGGTGGATATATATAGAGAGAGGTTGATTACTGAATCCAGCCTTGTTCATCGAATCTACACCCAACACAACACATGCAATAGGAATGATTCATCACTCATACCAGAAATATGGAAAATATTACTACCAATCAAATCAAGTGAAAAACAATGGAACTATATAAGTGAATTTAGGAAGTCGTGTGATTACCTTGATATGATTATGAGCAATAATAAATTGTGCTCGAAACGTGGTCATCAGTAAACATTGCTGTATAACACTGTGAGACTTTATCAAAACAAAAATTTACCCATAATGGAATTGCACTCTACCACAGTGCACAAGTTTTGTGCTTAAATCAATAGTTAAAGAGCAATTGAATCATGGAAAACTATCGAGTTAAATGAGATTGTTGTTTTGCTGGTTATGCGGGCTCAAATCCAGACCCCGTAATATATCTGTCTATCTTACACAGTTAGGCGATTCCAATTTAATTTATTAGTGTATTCCTGCACATACCCTTGAACTTAGACAGTGTGCACATCTTTCGCTTGCTTGCTCTGTAGTTTCCACTTTTTTTCACCTCTTTTATATTTCATCACCTTTGACTCAATATCTCTTTGTATTTTTTTTCCTTCACGTTCCACAGTGGAACATAGGGCTTCAAGCTATTGGCTTGAAGTTTCTGTAGCAGTGTTCATTTTAGAGGACGGGGTTGCTGGCCTCATGCCCAACCTTTCCTCTTCACCAGCATTATTTCTGGCTTAGCGAGGTAAAGGAGTGCGTCAGTGGCCGGGGATCGAACCCCGGACCACGTGCATGGTCGGTTAGAGCCCTAACCGCTTTGCCACCGACGCGTTTCTCTTTGTATTAATCAACAATTATTCTCATCATCATGTGTATGACTTTGCTTCCAGTATATTGTTATTCTTTGGTTCCAATATTGACTTTTTGTTTCCCCGGGGGAACTGAGTTTTCTTTTTGTTGCTGGTATTTATCGTTTTTTACTATCTGACGAATCATTTAGTCTGCAGTGTTGTTATAACTTCAGTGAAGTGAAATAACCCCATCGCCAATTTGCTATAACTGATACTGAACTGAACGAGAACTGTAGTCACTTTGTTCTGTCTGCGCCTGCCTAATATATGCCTATCTGACTGTGATGCCTTCGGATTCACTGAGCCATGCAAATAGCAAAAGACAAAGGCTGGCCTGTGACTGTATATTGTAATCACCACCACCGCAACAACAACTATTAAGAAAACAACACATGGTATTTATAGATTTTCTTTACAACAATAAAGTCGACCTCACAGCCGTGAGAGAGGTGATTGATGGCATAATTAATCACACCATGCGTGAGAGTTGATGATATACTACTTCATGCGTGATCACATCAAGCCTACATTGTATTATTATTGTTGTTCCCTTGGATTCCAGTTGGAAAGTGGAGCTTCAATAGAACATTCCCACTTCGTCCTGTTCTCCGCTTTCCTCTCTGAATGGCCCCAGGATTGCATATATTCTTTCATCTCCTCCCCAAACGATCTCCTCCATGTCACCATCGGATTTCCAACTCTTCGCTTTCCATTCAGGTGCCACTCGATGGACTGGTTCGTGATGTCGCCCAACGGTCTCCTCACTGTGTATCCTATCCATCTGCATTTTCTTCCACATATTTATTTGTTCACCAATAGATTGTTGATGGGTTCGTTCGAAAAAGTTTCCTTTTACTGATTCTTTCTGACCAATATAGAGTATGGAGTCAGTGAAGGCAGCTGATGATAAAAGTCTCCATCAGCCTGTTAGAAATGCTTTCGGTGACGCGTTGGCCACGTTTCTGACCGGTATAGAAGACTTATCTGACAGACTGACTGGCTGAGTTAATATTTATGTTGAAAAGAATCGGTATTTTGTTGTTAATAGTGTGTCTGTGATTGTGGTTATGTCTGAGTGTATAATATTTACAAACTGATTGTAGAGTGAGTAATGGAGGTGTATCGTGGCTTTTGGATCGTGTTCAGCGTTTTTGACATGTTCATCCGCGTTGTGTTTTGTTGTCTTGTGTGTGTGTTAGCGTGTAATTGTAACGATGCTTTCTGGATAAGTGAGGGAAGTGACCTCTTTCAAATTTCTTCCGTTGACAGTGATTGGTTGTTGTTGCTATTGGTTGAACAACAATCTTCGTATGTTTGGCATGCGATTACCCCCTGTATAATGTAAGATGATGCTGCAAGATTGGACTTCACCGACCCCTAGATTAGAAATAGGAAGTGAAGTGGTAGAGCACGCTGACCGCTTCACTTACTTGGGAAGTACCATCAGCCCCAACGGGTTGATCTCCGACGAAATCTCAGCACGAATACAGAGGGCTAGGTTCGCATATGCCAGTTTACGCCGTCTCTAGCGTAGACGTGATATCCGACTATCGACCAAAGGGCGTGTGTACTGCTCAACAGTCGGCTCCGTCCTCCTTTATGGCTGTTAGACCTGGCCATTGAGAGCAGAAGACATGAAAGGATTATCTGTGTTCGATCATAGATGTCTGCGTTCTATCTCCCGCGTGAAGTGGTATGATAAGGTGAGCAATATTGAGGTTAGGCCTCGGTCGAGTGCTAGGTAAGGAGAGGAAATCAGTCGATGAGACTGTGAAATTACGTCTACTGAGATGGTTAGGACATGTGTTACGTATGCCTAGTCATCGCCTTCCTCGACGGGAAATGTTAGCTGATATAGGGCCAGGCTGGAAAAGAACTAGCGGCGGTCAAATGAAAACATGGCACCAGTCAATGAAATCCACAACAGTTAGTCTAAGCCACGTAGGGAGGTGTAAACTTCCTGGTTGGGGTCCTCGGGACGGTAAAAACCAATGGTTGGAAACAATCAGTGACATGGCTCCAAATCGTTCCCAGTGGCGCAGATGCATCCACTCCTTGTGACTCATGATTTCCAATGAAACTGTTTTGTTCTTCATTATTACTATTCCTTTGTCTCACACCTCTGTTTACTGTCTATATTATGCATTTCTCCTACTTTCTTCTCTTGCTTTGTGTGCTAAAAGTAGGGAGTGTAGCGACTTGAACTGCCGCACACATGTGCATAGTTCTATGTCGAAAACCGACCGACCGACCGCTGTTGGTTGGTTATCCTCATCACCTCCGTTTTATCTATGTGTCTATTTGAAGTCCTGTCCTTGCTGGTTGCTTCTGACAGTTTATTGGTTTTCACCTGCAAGTCTTATAGTTTGTGTGGTCCAGCGTATTCCTGTCCTCCTATCTCCCACAGTCTTCCGCATAATTTAGTCCACCACAAGTAGGAATCTCATAATTGATTATAATAGGCAGTCTTGTCTTATTCTTGTATTCACCTCAGAGGCTTCTCTAAGAATCAATGGCTGGAGACAATAGGTGACATGGCTCAAAATCGTTGTCAATGGCTTACGCAGATGTATTCAGTCTCTGTAATCTTTCATATTCCTTTCTACCATTACTCATTCTGTTTCACTCTTATACTTGTCAAAACTCTATTGATTCTCTTCACTCATTTTCTTGTCTACCTTTGTGTGGTATTTGGAACTTGGCAACTCGAACTGCTACACTTCGGTGCCAAGTTCTATGTTGAGTCCAGCAGCAGCAGCTTCTCTAGATTTTCCATTGTGGATCACGTGACACGTGCCACTGTTATATAGCTGTGGTTGAATGAGGTTGATAAAGATTTGGGGTGTTGATGTAGTTTCCAAATTACTTATCGTTCATTGTACACCACCTGCACTTTCTTGTCACTGCCTTTTATTTTATTCACCCAGCAGTATTCCATCGGTCAATCGAATGAAAAACAATTTATGCAACTGTTTTTCACTACTATGCTTTTGTAATGTAAAACGCGTACTTTTGTTACTGATTTCTCAATGATCACCTGAATGTCTGTGTGTACATTATGGGATAAGTGAGCAAATATTGTGTGCACTAGGTGTTTTATAATAATCATAATAATAATGGTAATATTCCTACCTCTGCGGATATTCGACTGGCCGCAGAAATATTCATGGCACCCCAGATTTATTATTATTATTGTTCCCTTGGGTTCCTAGTGGAACATAGGGCTTCAACTGCACGTCTCCACTTGCTTCTGTCTTCTGCTGTATTTTTCACCTGCATCCATGTTAGTCCATACTGTTTCAGTTCCTGTTCACACGATCTCCTCCATGTCACCCACACTTCGACGTCCCACTCGCCGCTTCCCTTTCGGGTTCCACTCAAGTGATGGCCTGACACGCGATGTCACCCAACGGCCTCCAGCGAGTGTCCTATCCATCTCCATTTACTCCTGCATATTTGTTGAGCGATTGGTTCTTGTTTTGTTCGTTCCCATAGTTTCTTGTTGGTTATTCTTTCCGGCCATCTGATCTTCAGTATAGAACGAAGACAGTTGTTGATAAAGGTCTGCAACAGGCTGTTGGGAATATTCTCTGTTACCCGCCAAGTTCCTGATCCGTATAGAAGAACTGACTGACTTGACGTTTGTATTGAAAATCGGAATTTTGTTGTTGATGCTGAGTTGAGTGACGAAGATTTCTAGATTGGTTTCAGGTTGATGAATGTGGTTCTCGCCTTCGTGATTCTCGATTTGACATCCTCGACCGTTCCTCCTGTAGTTGAGACAATGCTCCCTACCTAGATAAGTGAATGAAGTAACCTCTTTCAAATCTCTCCCGTTGATGGTGATTGGCGCCGGATGTTCCTGTTGCTGTTGTTGTTGGTTGGTTATTTTCATAACCTCCGTCTTGTCTATGTTTACCTGGAGTCCTGTCTTTGTTGCTTCTTCGACGAGTTTGTCGGTTTTCGCTTGTAAGTTTTCGATTTTGTGTGACATCAGACATAAATCATCCATGCGCGAAATCCAGGTCTTCTAGGTTCTTCACGTCGGTCCAGGATATCCCTGTCTTCTCGTTTTCCACTGTCTGACGCACCCCAGACCTGGTGGTATGTAATATGTTGGAACAACAAAGTTTAGCGAAGAGTCTCTTTTTTAGGCGGCGGATTCATTCACCTAGCTGTTCAATCGCATTTATTTACAATTATTTTGTGTGTGTGTGTGCATGTGTACATTAGGATTTTCAAACAAAAATTAGTTGGGGTTATTGTTTATGTTATAAAAATGTTCCCAAATGGTGATGAATAATCAAAATTATAACTAGGGAGTGCGGGGTGGTGAAGATTGGTAAGTATTGACAAGGGTTGTGTAATATGAAATAGGATGTTAATGAAAACACGTGTCCACAATTAATTATGTAATAGGGATAGGAAATAAAGGGTTGGTTAAGAAGATGTTACTAAGATGTCATACAAAAAATTCAGAATAAAATTTTTTTTTAAAACTCGGAATTATACCTAAAGTAGAAGGAGGGGGTGGGGAAGTTTCCTCTGTGTGTATAAATCAGGGTTTTCTATCGGGATCGCTAAGGCGGCCTCGGCAGTGCAGAGTATAAGAAAGCTTACCCTTTTTTGAGAAGCTTCTTTTGACTTTATAGATGACTTTAAATGAATCCTCCTTGTATATACTGAGTGACCAGTGTTGACTATATGTTCAAGTATAGCACTCTTTATTGATCCACTGTTACCTTTTCGTAGACAAGCAGGATAATGTTCTTTGACTCTTTTAGGTAAAAAACAAGCATCGAACGACCCATATATATTTCCCTCCACATGACCAAGTAGAAGTGATCGAATGCGATAGTTCAACTTTGGAATTATTGAAGAACAATGGGTGACTTGAGAATACCAATCGGAATGCTCTTTTCAGAACATTAGACATTCTTCTCTTTAGAATGTCGACCAGAAGGTCACCTTTGAACGCCATGAACTCATGTATAACATCTTCTTCGGCACAGAGATGGGTTGTTCTTCGTTTGCTTTACAGCTTTATGTGTGTGTTTATCTTTAAAACGTGGGGTGGATACAGCCATTCTCAATTAGTGTCTTCCTCAAAAGAGTGATCTCTCTTTTTCTACTGATGTGTGGGGGCTGCACATTCTACGGATTCTAGTCTAGTATCTAATATGTTTTTAGAAAACAGAAAGATTGAGCAGCGAAGAAGTATTTACTTTTCAATTAGATCCTCATTTCTGGTTCTACTTCAGCATATATTATATATAGCATTTTTATTACAACACACAACAGTTTACCAATCAAGTGGCACTGATATGTTTGTTAACAGTAATTAGTCAGTGTCAAAATGTCAATGGGTTGATAATAAACGAAGAAAATCAATACACATTTAAAAGGTAGAAATAGTTAGAATAAATTAATTTTAGAAGGATAACACCTAATTAAAGATGAAGTGGTCAAAATAAATAAAAATAAAATAATTTGGACAATTATAATTTTTTATAGTTTTTAAAGGTTTAGGGGGAAGGGGGCGACGTAGTCCTGTTTATGCATTCTTCTAGAGATGGCCACGGTAAGGAAAGTGGCTGTACAAATTTCTTCTGAACACATAGGCTTGGCTTCTTCAGGTGGATTCCGATTGCTTCAGCTGTCTGTAGAAGACGAACTCGTAGAGCAAAATTAAGATTAGTAGGAATGCGATAGATAATTTTAAATGCAGTATTAACATCAACCTTATGCTCACTATCAACAAGGTGTGCTAAAATAGAACTACGAATAGATCTTGTTTGTCCCTTGCTTAACCATGTTGGATGATGTTCGGAAATACGACGATGAACCTGCCTAATTGTACGCCCAATGTAGCTGGCTCCGCAGCTGCAGTCAAACTGGTAGATACACATAGAAGAGGCAAATTTAGGTAGTTTATCCTTATTTCTCGAACATAGAATAGGGATGGTTGTGAAGAGACAACGTACCTCTGCTGCATAATAAGCTCTTTTAACTGCATTCTTCAGGAGCTGTGTTATGATTTCGCTGATGTTGTCTCCGAGGAACTGCAATTTTATGAACATTGGTTTTTTCGGAACTGTAGCCATACTGACTCTCCTTGGTGCTGAATTCATATTTTTCTCAATGAATTTATCTGGATAACCATTTTTTTCTAAGTAATTCTCTAATAATCTTAAGCTCCTCATTGAGGCAGTCGTCTGAACAGATTAACTTAGCTCTATGAACCAGACACTTTACCAGGTTACGTTTATATTTCAAAGGTACAAAACTGAAAAAATGAGTGTACTGACCTGTTGTTGTAGGTTTCCTATACACACTCCTTCTGACCATTTCTACTTTTTAAATGTGTATTGATTTTCTTCGTTAATTATCACCCCATTGACATTTTGACACTGACTAATTAATTATTGTTAACAAACATATCAGTGCCACTTGATGATTGGTAAACTGTTGTGTATTGTAATAAAAATGCTATACAGAATATATTAGAGTAGAGCCAGAGTGAGATGAGGATCTAATTGAAAAGTAAATACTTCTTCGCTGCTCAATCTTTCTGTTTTCTAAATGTCTAAATGGGAATTTTTTTCTATATTAATATGTTTTTGTTTTCTTATTGGATTTGGCGCTATGCATATTGTATTTTTATTTTAATTATTAACGTGTTTCCTCTTTCAGTCGGTGAATATCAGCCTGTCTCGCCGAGTGATCTAGTTCCTGCAATGTCTAGCTGTAGACTATACCAACCTAGTTGTAAATATGAAAACGTAAGATTACTTCACTACTTTTTTTTTTCAAAAAAAATTGTTTTTATGCATTATGAAGGATATATTTTTTAAAAATATATTTAATGAGATTTCTTAGATTATGTGAGTAACTTACTTGCTCACGAAAATTGGTACACAGTTATTAACACTAGTCAACTGCAAATTTCCTTCCTCTTACCTTACTGCATTTGGAAACTATTGAGATTATTTATTGTAGTTTTGACGCGACATTATTGTGAACACAGTCCTCTCTAACTCTTCTTATTTGTATGATACCCATATACATATATATTGTTATTCTTTTTTGCTGTTTCTAGAGGAATGCTCCCAGAGTTTTATTTCAGAAAGTAAGTTTCCTGTGTGTGTGCATGTGTGTGTGTGAGTTGGTCTTGTATTTCCCGTTGATTGGTTATAACACATTGGACGGATGTGGGCTAGGTCCTGGCTTTTGACACATGTCACCTCCTAGTATATGGATAATGTCTGGAGTCCGGGATAGTCATTTCGTCCTACATGCGTGGGACCTGTCAACTGGTGGTGGTGGTGGTGGTGGATATGTACCTGCATCCTCCGGTAAGCGAGGATGGTGCCCCCCCCCACCTGAGACTTAAACTCACCACCACCACCACCCATCGATTATGCAGTGACTGATTTGCCAGTGTGAATGGGTTTCATTGCGTTTTGTCAAAATTGAATGACATCACTGTCTGTAATATTAATTAATTAGACTGCCAACATATATGACGACAGAGATTAGAAGTTCCCCTTGTAATTTTTAATTCATCGTCAATTTGAGGTCAGCGCATTTCTCAACTGGATTATAAAAGAAAAGGAATATTTCCAAAGATGTGTCATCAGAATTGTAAAATTTAGATAGCAAATTGTGTAATTTAGGAAGCATTAATGGTGGGTCGTGGTGGCCGAGCGTGCCAGACCCAGGAATAATCTCCTCTACCCGATTAACGCTCTCTACATATTACATAATTTGCTATCTGAAACAATCTACAGTTCTAATGACACATCTTTGAAAATATTCCTTTTGTTGCTAAGACAATTGACTGCATTTAATATATGCAAACACGTGTAATAGGAATGATTCAACACCTGTCCACGCAGACATCTGGAAAATTCTACTACCCCAACGACGACAAATAGGAGAGAACAAAGGAGACTATAAAATCCAAGTTTCGAACTCATGTGATTATAACTGATATGATGATGAACCACAGTGAATTGTGTTCGAAACCTCGTCACCCAGTAGATAATACTGTTTCACTGACTGTGTGATATATCTCATAAACAAACTAATATAGAATTACAGTTTATTATGATTATTGTTATTGTTCCTTTGGGTTCCTAGTGGAACATAGGGCTTCAACTGTACTTGCTTCTGTCTTCTGCTGTACTCGACGGCCTGACACGCGATGTCACCCAGCGGCCTCCTCAGCGAGTGACTCAATCCATCTCCACTTTCTCCTGCATATTTGTTGGGCGATTGGTTCTTGTTTTGTTCGTTCCCATAGTTTCTTGTTGGTGATTCTTTCCGGCCATCTGATCTTCAGTATAGAGCGAAGACAGTTGTTGATAAAGGTCTGCAACAGGCTGTTGGAAATATTGTTTGTGACCCGCCGCCAAGTTTCTGATCCATCCGTATAGAAGAACTGACTGACTTGACGTTTGTATTGAAAATCCGAACATTTTGTTGTTGATGCAGGCTGAGTGACGAAGATTTCCAGATTGGTTTCAGGTTGATGAATGTGTTTCTCGCCTTTCCGATTCTCGATTTGACATCCTCATCCGTTCCGATCCTGTAGTTGAGACAATGCTCCCTAGATAAGTGAATGAAGTAACCTCTTTCAAATCCCTCCCGTTGATGGTGATTGGCGCTGAATGTTCTGCTGCTGTTGTTGTTGTTGGTTGTTTGGTTATTTTCATAACCTCCGTCTTGTCTATGTTAATATATATATATATGCATATATATATATATATATATATATATATACTTCCTGTGCCAAACATGTCTCAGTTCCTAGTGAATTTCACCTTGTATGTAACGACTTTGAGCTGTGAAACATATTACACCAATAATTCAAAAGGATGCAAGTGAAACTAAGCAGAGCATGTTAACCTTTTATTGTGGGTAAGCGACAGTCTTGAAGTTTTGAAGTCTGTAGACGTGCTAGGATTCTTACCTTATTATACTATTCTTGGATTTTATGGTTAGTTAACTGTTGTCGATTAAAGGTTTGGCTTTCTCATTCGCTTTTGTGACAATGTTTCGATTCTCTAGCTTTTTAGTTTAGTTTAATCTAAGGCTATCTGGCTAATCCTATTCTTTCCTTATTAGTGGGATAAGGCGCTATTATAAGTATTTTATTGAAACTTATAGATAAAGCGTCAAGTGTCGTTTCAAAGTCACCGATTGACCAGAAGACACAGTGAATATCACCTATCTTTGCCGTAAGTTACTGTACCTTTTCCTGTTGTTTTTTTTTTGTTTCTTTGTTTTTTGATCCAGTGTTCAAAGAACTTTTTAAATGTTTCAAGTCAATAAATCTGTGCATGTTTGGCATTCACACTTCACCTCTACCATGTGTGATGGGGATTGAAATGGTGGAATGCGTCGACCACCTCGATTGTTTAAGGAATCTCATCAGCCCTTATGGACTGATTGATTGCTGGCGAAATCTTAGCATGGGGACACAAAAGGCACCTGGCGACTTACTCCACTTTCTGCACAGGCGTGATATCCAGCTAATCTACCAAAGGATGTATATTCTACTCTTGAGGCGATCATTCTACGGCTGTGCCACCCCGACAGCTTGGACGATGTAGCGATGTATCTGTCCTTTTTTAAGGGTCCCCAAGCGTGTACTGGGAATCTATGATTGTAAATCGTTGATGAAATGATTCACTGTATCTCAGGTATATTCGTTCGGAATTTATTCTTGACCTGTGCACAGTTTAACATTGATAAGTCAGTCAGTCAGGATGTGGGGTATACCGCATTGCCTGCTTTACGTGAAAAGCTACAACACCTAAACTCTGCCTTGCGAGATCGATACGGCAATAATTGTGAAATATCTTGAGTTTTTTTCTGAATCCTTTGCTATAATGACTATGTTATACAACTGTATAGCTGAACAGAACACACTATTACACAACGTACCCAACTTGTAACCAGTCACTTGGACAGAAATTCCCCATGCTTATCGGAAAGTAAACAGCGACACTTTCGGTTTCAAATCATAATTATGGTTAATTGTAATAATAATAATTATTATTATAAGGGAAACCGTTTCAAGTTACAACTTTCGAAACTTTCAGTGGGAATACAATGGAGTTATGTGTGGTTCAATTTTAAAAAAAGTACTATCATATGCAAGCGAAAAGCAACAAGTTGGCAGAAGAAGCATCCAGAGAAGATAGGCCTTCAGGTGAACATAGAGAAAACAGAGGTGATGAAGATTCCTGGGCAACACCACAACAGCAACAACAACAACAGACAACAATCAGCCATCATAAATATGAGGAACCCGAAAGAAACAACCTCTTTTACCTACCTGGGAAGCATCGTTTCAACTACAGGCAGACGGAACTGACGAGGATATCAAAGCGAGGATCGGGAAAGCAAGACAAGCTTTCACTACTCTCAAGTCTGTGTGGAGGTCAACAGCACTACTCAGCATGAAAACAATAAGATCCGGATTTTCAACTCCAATGTGAAGTCAGTGCTACTTAACATACGGATGAGAGACTTGCACTGCGCGTCATAAAGAGCATCTCAAACAAACTACAGACCTTCATTAACAGTTGTCTTCTCTCAATACTCAAGATCAGATGGCTGGCCAGAGAAGATAAGCAACAGAGATCTCTGGCAATGAGCGAACCAACCTAGCAGGAACCGATTGTGAAAGAAATAGGCAGGAAAAAATGGAGATGGATTGGCCATACTCTGAGGAAACAAACCATCAAGTGACATCACTAGACAAGCCATTGCTCGAGTGGAACCCGAAAGGGAAGCGGCGAGTTGGTCGTCAGTGCGAGGGTGACTTGGAGGAGGTCATGTGAAGAGGAGATGAAAACGTGTGGGCAGACTTGGAGCCAGGTGAAGACTCTAGCAGAGAACCGAACGCAATGGAGACGCATGGCTGAAGCCGTATGTTCCTGTAGGAATTAAAGGAAACAATGATAATAATAATAATATTCCAAATAATCTCCAGCCTTTCGCACTATGGAAATTCAGTTTTCCATTAATTATATTATTTAATTTCCAGGACAGTATCTATCTCAGTTATGTAAAAGGGACTGCATTACTGATCTGATTATTTCTGCAATAAGAAGGTTTGCCTATTGCTGAATTGTACTTTATCGTAATTATCCACCTTAGCGGGTCTTTCTTCCTCATAATCAATCCACGTAGACCTTTGTTATCACTTCGTGTTTTCACACTTCCCCAAAGTAGTACACATAAAAATAGAGACGGGTAATGCTGTGGAACTACAGTGGACAAATAAATGCGGACTAGTGAACATCTTTGAAATTTCGAAGTTAGCGGTGAACACCACATCCACATCAACTGACACGAGGAATTCAAGGTAGACACCTATGACCGAAAACCAATAATATTGAAGAATGCAGTGTCTTACAAGTTGTGAAATACAATCTACCCGTCTCGCTTGATGAGTACTTACAACCTGACCGGTTGACGCACTTGTTTTTGCCTAATATAACGTTTGACATCAGTATTATGTACTGTGTTACTTGACTAATCGTTAGTTATTCAACCAAGACACCCACATTAACAACAGAATTAGTATTTAACAGCCCAGGGAACAATTGCTTGACGCAGACGGCCTTTTTGAAGTGGATTTTAGGGTTAAATCCGTTTGAAATCTTATTGTGGTTACGGACTACCGTAAGGGGCAAGTTGGGATGTACAATTTTTAGGGTTCACCTTTCTCAACCCGCGTTTGCAAACCATATAAAGACAGAACAGCTGCTTTCAGTTGGTCGTTCAAGTGTGTTACCCACCCCTATTGGGCAACAGTATGACTCCTAGCATAGTGCAAGCGAAACAAAACATGGTAACTGTTTCAAGACTGCGAATTTTCTCTCCAAATAGTCAAACTAAGCAGTATCGTTGTTAAGCAGCGTGTCTTACTTCCCTTGATTCGGTGGTCACATCAACAAAGCTTCTTCATCCATTTTTATTGAAATTTTTCTCACTAACAGCAGTAAGAAAAAGGAGGAGTTTGAATTTTCAAAGACTCCTAGGTCCAAGAACTCTTCATTTTCGATCACTGACAAGCACGGGATCTTGTTCTTAAACATCGGTATCAGTTAGATATTAAGTGGGTTTTTCTTCGAGTTTGATGTTTATCGGTGGGAATGTCGTCTACCAACTCTTTTCAAGGTTATACTTCATAACAAGCTGTGCTAATGGTAGAATGATGGGCTGTGGCACTGAGGCAATACCAACCAATAATAATAATTTATCATCCTTACGTCATTATATTTATTATTATTCTTTTGGGTTCCGAGTGGAACATAGTACTTCAACATCACTTCTCCATTTTGTCCTGTTCTCTGCAGTCCTCACTCAGGTAGGACAAGCTCTGTAGGTTAAAGGACCCTGTTGGTTGACCCAATTAGACAAAATAATATAATTTACAAAATACCCTGCAATGACTGTGAGTAAGGTCAACTACATAGGTCAAACCAGTAGTCAGATTGTCGGAACATAAGAATTTAGCTAAGGTGAGAATGGTTGACCCCGAGAAAATAAGTAATTTAGAAAAAAGCTCGGCAATTGCAATGCATGCATTAACACACAACCACACAATAGGGTGGGTGGGAGAGGGTTAAAATTCTAAAAAGTAATCTAGGTAGGTGGAGAGAGAGAGATTGATTACTGAATCCTGGTTCATTGAGTCTACACCCAACACATGCAATAGGAATGATTCATCACTCATACTGGAAATATGGAAAATACTACTACTGCAATCAAATCAAGCGATGGAAAATAATGGAATTATGTAAACGAAGTTAGAAAATTTTGTGAGTACCTTGTTATGATTATGAGCAATAATAAATTGTGCTCGAAACGTTGTCATCAGTAAACATTGCTGTATAACACTGTGAGACTTTATCAAAACAAATTTTACCCGTAATGGAATCTCTGCATTCCTCTTTAGCTTACCCCATGATTGCCGATTAGATTCAATCTCCTCTCCAAACGATCTTCATGTTATCATCCATCGGATGCCCAACTGAGTTTCCATTCGAGGGACCCAGTGCACGATGTGATTCCACAGTCTCCTCCCTGTGTATCCTATCCACCTGCATTTTCTTCCACATATACTTGTTCACCAATAGGTTGCTGATGGGTTCGTTCGAAAAAGTTTCCTTTTGCTGATTCTTTCTGACCAATATAGAGTATGGAGTCAGTGAAGGCAGCTAATGATAAAAGTCTCCATCAGCCTGTTAGAAATGCTTCTGGTGACGCGTTGGCCACGTTTCTGACCGGTATAGAAGACTTGTCTGATAGACTGACTGGCTGAGTTAATATTTGTGTTGAAGAGAATCGGTATTTTGTTGTTAATGGTGTGTGTGTGTGTGTGCTGTGACTGTGGTTGTGTCTGAGTGTATAATATTTACAAACTGATTGTAGAGTGAGTAATGGAGGTGTGTCGTGGCTTTTGGATCGTGTCCAGCGTTTTTGACATGTTCATCCGCGTTGTGTTTTGTTGTGTGTGTGTGTTAGTGTGTAATTGTAACGATGCTTTCTGGATAAGTGAGGGAATTGACCTCTTTCAAATTTCTTCCGTTGACAGTGACAAATAGTCCGTCACATTGACAGGTCCAGGCCCACATATCTTACGTCTGCAACACTAAATACAACATAATAAAAGGCGAGAGAAATAGACTGATGGGAATAATATTATTGCCGGTCGTACAGTTCCACAAGATAGAGGAAGAAAGGGTGAAGTATAAATGCATGTGCACGACTGCGTTGGATTCCTAGTTATACCACACGGAATCTGTAAACACTCTTTTCAAGGGTAACATGCACTTCAGTCAGATACCCCACATTTCCGCGGTTGGTTCAGACCAACAGTCAGAATTAAGCCAGTAAATATGAAATCATGTGTAGATCTAAATGCCTACATAAACATATCTGTGATAAGGGTGACGAGAAATATAGCCATTGAATACTATTCAGTATAGCCACCTCATAGGTCGGTCATCTTACCACAGATGACACTAACGCATCTGCCCAGTGCTCTTTCGACAAAAGATATCGCCTGACAGAAGGTGGACACTAGGTGGGTGCGCATGAAACTATTCCAGGAACCATTGTTTTTTTTCCCGAAGATTGTTGCTTCTTCGTAATGGTTATTATAAGAGATATTTTCTTTCTTGTTTAATTCCAACTAGTTATTGAATGAATTAAATTACGCATTTAACCAAAAGAAACCAGATTTTCACATTTTTATGCTTTCTATCATCGATTTTTTTTCATTTTTAGTACATCGCATTCTTCAGCTTCTAACCAGGTAGGCACTCCTTTATATGGGCGGTACTCTAATTTCTCGTCATTCAACCTAAAAAATCGATCATCGTCTACACATTACAGTTGGCCTGTTATGGAGTGTTATGATTTAGCTGTTGCCACGCAACTGACTCTACTATTTCTGCCTCCTGTAGTATTTTTCCGGTTAAAAATCGTAGTTGATCTTTTGCGTCGAGTTTTATCGAATCATGAACGACTCGCTTCCTTGATGATGAACACCCTGTCGTGTAGAGATTGTGAACGTAGTAAGTCAATAGATATTTCAATGTTGGATAGCCCGTCAACTTTGGAGATAACTATGCAAGCGGTACGTTTCATATGTGTTTGGATATCAATTTTTGATCCTCAATATCTGTTGTGTGTGTGTGTGTGTGTGTTTGAAACCATATTTTAAGGTAGAAATTTTATGTTAATGTATACAAACATTCCTATACACACATTCATTCATTAAAAGGCAGGAAAAATGGTCTACTAATCTACGTAAGCGCATTTAAGTTTAGCTAATGATATTTGTATCAGTTGGACATTCATGAAGCAATCTGTTTTGGTAGATAGGTTAAGGTGTGCGTCAGTGGCACAGCGGTACAATGTTCGCCGACCACGCCTCACGTGGTTCGGAGTTCGATCCCCGGCCACCGATGCACTCCTGTACCTCACTGAGCCAGTAATAAGGCTGGTAAAGAGGGAAGGTTGAGCTGAACATGAGGCTAGCAACCCCATCCCGTAAAAAAATAAACACCACTGCTACCGAAACTTCAAGTCTCTAGCTTGAAGCCTTATGTTCCACTGGGAACGTAAAGGAATAAAATAATAATAATAATAATAGATAGGTTAGGTTAACTGAATACTAGTTATTTTGTAAATCAAAATGGATGCAACATAGTGTAAATGATTGATATATACTCAAGGGGCGAAATAACATAAATTCATAAGAATGATCATCGCTCGTAAGTATTAATTGAAATTTGGTTCATTGCCTTAAGGAATCGACTTTCAACCAATTGTTCCCGGGTCTCTAAATCATGCTTCACCAACTTCGATGTAATCAACTGCCCAGTGTCTTCAGCCAATGTGTAACAAATGTGACTCTTAGCCTTTTTTTTCATTCTTTCACGTTTCCAGTGGAAAATAGGGTTGCAAGCTAGAGGCTTGAAGTTTCTGTAGCAGTGGTGATTATTTTTGCAGGATGGGGTTGTTAACCTCATGCCCAGCCCAACCTTCCCTCTTTAGCAGTCTTATTACTAGCTTAGCAAGGTAAAAGAGTGAGTCGGTGGCCGGGAATGGAATCCCGGACCACATACGTGGTCAGGAAGCATTCTACCGCTGTGCCCACCGACTCAAATCGGTAGATAAGTTCATCTCAATATATCAGCCAGTAAACTGTGCCATACCTTAGTGTTCTACAACAGATAAATTTACTGGTACTTACTTTACTTTACTTCGGCTATCTCCTACGGGAGGATGAGCCGGCTTCATGAACATCTCCAATCATCGCTGCCCAGGCGCGGCGATCTGATGCAAGAGAGTTCATGAAGTCTCATGGGAATTTGGTACGAGTGATGTCCCCAGAATCGCTCGGCCTTTTGTTTGAGAGTGCAGCTCTAGCCTTTACACAACCAAGTGTGACCTACAAGGCAGTAGGAGTGGAGTAGGGAGTCCACTATCCATTGGCAGCCAGTGACCGGAGTTCGGTTCATACGCCTTTTTGAATGGAGCCAGACATCCAAGACATCCAACAAGCCCTTTGTCCATACGTCTGCCGGTGAGCTCCAGTGAACTTCATACGCCAGTCGTTGGAGGTTTGGAATCTGGGTTTATCCATCTCCCATAGACTGTCATCCAATGGACAGTCGACCCGGTGAAGAGTGCCGGGCATCCGCTTTCGCCCTCTCACTTTGGTGAAAAACACCTCCGCCACGTGAAGGCAGTGAGTAGGACTTCCTCAGGAGAGGCTATGTAAGACGCCCGGTCATATGGGAGCATTTCGAGAGGTGTGCGGAGGGGTGGCCAACCCGCAGCGCAAAGCACCCACCCCCGACCATCCTGAGGCTTTGGAGGCTGGTACTGAGACATTCGTTGATTACAATCCATCTGAAATTTCCTTTATGTTGCATATGCAACTGAGGAAAGGAAATATTCGTGTATGCTTTTCACAGATTTTTAAATAGCAATTTCAACTTAAATTTTATACTACTTTGTCCCACTTTTCACACTATACAGTAATTTTCATTTTGCACCACCCTCCTCTTTTTTAATACCCACCCTCTATCTATCTTTCCACTAACTAGTGGTGTCGAGTACAACTGTATCGTCTTTCTGTTAAATTTACACCCTTTCTGATTGCCTTCAAGCTTAACTCTGGCATATCTGCTTGTATGCTGATTGACATATGAAATGAGAATCTTTTTATTCCTACGCCATTCCTTATAGAACACAGTGGGCTTCATGCTTTGTGGTTTCAGTAGGTTGGTGTAGCCATCCGCATGCCTATCCCTATCTCCTTTTTCCAGTCTTACTACTACCGGCTAGTAAACTAGGTGGCGAGATTTATGGGTGCATCGGTCGGCGACCGAACTCTGGGATGCGCGTGTTTCGCGTATGCGCATGTGTCTATCCGGAGCAAAAAGTTATGCAAAGTTTGTAAAGTCAAATAATCATCTGTGTGTTAGTAATATTGATAATAAAAAAAAAACAAAGTTAACCGAAAATGCTGGAAGTGTACTACCTACCGCGTTTGCATGAAGGAATTTGTTCTGCACAGTAAATTTTCCTGCGTCTTCCTAGCAGGGCTTTCACCGTATGTATATTCTACAAATAAATGTACTGTAAATCTTTTTGAAGTGGTACTATACGATTGCAGCCGTTGTATGACTCAAATTCGGAGAGGGAGCGACAGTGAGGCAGAGGTGAAAAGGCTAGCTGTCTTTGATCGTAGACATCTCCGTCCCATGTTGGATAGTATAATAGGGTGAGTGATATTTGCGGTTGGACGTTGAGTGTTAGGTAAGGAGAGGAAATCTACCGATGAGCTTGTGATGCGCCTTTATCGATTGAGATATGGTCACAACATGTATTACGCATGCCTAGGCACCACCTTTCTCGATGGGAAATGTTAGCCTACATAAGATTGGGTTGGAAACGAAAACATGGGATCTCTAACAATTAGTTTGAGACAGCCACGTCGAGAAATGTAGACTGGCTGTTTGAGGTCCTTGGATTTCCGAGAAAACAATGGCTGGAGACATCTGGTGATAGGGCAAAAAATTGTTCTCAGCGAGGCAGGGGCATTCACTCTCTGTGATTTATCATATTCAAAAAGCAGCCTATTGTTTTACTGTGTGAATATGCTTTCTCTCTCTCACACACACACATTTCTGCTTACTATAGTCCTTCAGAATCTCATTTTTCCTCCTTTTATCTTCCTATGTGTGCTTGAATGGAGTCTGACAACTTGCTGGCTGGCTAGATTCACCATAGAACTTGGAACCGAAGTGCACCAGTTCGAGTTGCCACGTTCCAAATACCACACAAAGGTAGACAAGAAAATGAGTGAAGTGAATCAATAGAGTTTTGACAGGTATAAGAGTGAAACAGAATGAGTAATGGTAGAAAGGAATATGAAAGATTACAGAGACTGAATACATCTGCGTTAGCCATTGACAACGATTTTGAGCCATGTCACCTATTGTCTCCAGCCATTGATTGTTAGATTCCCGAGGGCCCCAACCCGGAAGTCTGCATCTCTCTATCTGACTGACTCAGTTTAACTGTCAAGGATTTCATGGATTGATGAGGCCATGTTTTTGTTTGGCCACCACTTACTCTTTTCCAACCTGCATCTATATCAGCTAGTAAGTAATGCTCGTCGGGGGAGGCGATGGTTAGGCATGCGCAGCACGTCACCTAGCCATCTCAATCTATGTAACTTTGTAGCTTCGTCGATTGATTTTCCTTCTTTGCCCAACACTCTACGCCTAACGTCAACATTACTTACCCTATTATACCACCTGACGTGAGAAAGAGATCGTAGACATCTATGATGAAAAACAGTCAACCTTTTCATGTCTTAAACTCGCATTGGCCATGTTTCAGAGCCAGCCATAGAGAAGGACGGAGCGAACTGCTGAGCAGTAAACACGTCCCTTGGTTGACAACTTGCACTACTACTACACTTCTGTGCATAGTTCTCTGTTGAAACTAGTCGGTCAGTCAGTCAGTCAGTCATTTATCTCACGATAGCTTGAAATGCCTTCGCCTTGTTCACAGGAAAGGAAATCAATACAAATGCATATTGTTATTTCTATTTTCTCATTTCTAACATATTGACATGCTTACCTCCTTCTTTTCTCTCAAAATAAAAAAAACAAACAAAAACAAATTCAGATTGTCAAACTGTTCGGTCCACTGCTGCTGCATTTGCCAAGTGATGACTCTGATGCTGACGCAAATTCACGCATCCGTTGGCGAGAATGTCTTCTCTATCTCCTTCTCTGTGACTCTGAAAACTTTCTGTTAACACCACCTGCCAATGTTGTGTGTGATTTACGACGTGTCACTACTACTATTATGGGGAGTGATGATGTAGATGCAGAACAAGAAAATATTTTTAATGTCGAACGGGTAAGTATGTATATATATATATATATTGCTCTTCCTTTTATTATTAGCTCTGTGGTGCCTATCATAAAACACTCAAGGTGTTTAAACCATACTGCTGCTTGTTCGTATGTGCGTGCGTGTGTATCAAATCAAGCAGTGTGTAACTGAGTCACTAACTGAAATTGACAATTTCACTTTCGGTGTATTTCATTCAAGTCAGCAGTCACATGTACGTCGGTGGCACAGTGGTTAGGACTCTCGCCGACCATGCACATGGTTCGGGGTTCGATCCCCCACCGACGCACACCCGATATCTATGGTCGGCCTGCAAAATTTGGGCTACCGATATTACATGCTGAAAATTCCATACTTGTACTGAAAATACGATGTGGCATTAAGCTGTAATCAAAAATATAAAAAAATAAAAATTCAATGAAGCATGAGGTAAGTAAATCTGAGGCAGACAGATTCCAGCCGCGAAAAGGAGGAGAATTTATATCGTGTTCTCGCCTACACTAATAATCTACTTAAGTCCATTATGGGTAAATTTTGTTTTGATAAAGACTCACAGTGTTATACTGATGACGTTTCGAGCACAGTTTATTCCTCATAATCATATCAAGGTAATCACACGACTTCCTAAATTCATTTATATGGTTCCATTGTTTTTCACTTGATTTCATTGGTAGTATTATTTTCCATATTTCGGGTATGAGTGATGAATCATTCCTATTGCATGTGTTGGGTGTAGATTCGATGAACAAGGCAGGATTCAGTAATCAACCTCTCTCTCCACCTACCTAGATTACTTTTTAGAATAACTAGTAATGATAACATAAATAAGAGAGAATGTAAGTCATCTACAGTTATACCATATAAAGAGAGGACATCTGAGACCCTACGTAGGATTCTAAATAAAGCAGGAATTAGGGTGGCATTTAAACCTACAAACTCACTCAGGGACAAGCTCTGTAGGTTAAAGGACCCAGTGGACCCAATTAGACAAAATATTATAATTTACAAAATACCCTGCAATGACTGTGAGTCAGGTCAACTACATAGGTCAAACTAGTAGGTCAGGAGTAGTCAGATTGTCAGAACATAAGAATTTAGCTAAGGTAAGAATGGTTGACCCAGAGAAGATGAGTAATTTAGAAAAAAGCTCGGCAATTGCAATGCATGCATTAACACACAACCACACAATAGCATGGTGGGAGAGGGTTAAAATTCTAAAAAGTAATCTAGGTAGGTGGAGATAGAGAGAGGTTGATTACTGAATCTTTGTTCATCGAATCTACACCCAACACATGCAATAGGAATGAATCATCACTCATACCCGAAATATGGAAAATAATACTACCAATCAAATCAAGTGAAAATCAAGTGAAAAACAATGGAACTATATAAATGAATTTAGGAAGTCGTGTGATTACCTTGATATGATTATGAGCAATAATAAATTGTGCTCGAAACGTGGTCATCAGTAAACATTACTGTATAACACACTGTGAGACTTTATCAAAACAAAATTTACCCATAATGGAATTACACTCTACCACAGTGCACAAGTTTTATTCTTACATCAATCAACTTAAGTGTTATTCTCACTGTTTTCTATGCGTAATCGTCGCTTTCTGTGTCACTAATTTTCAGCTTTTCTATTTTTTTTTGTGTAACAACTTGAAATGATGCATTTCTGTGTAATGAATGACTCATGTTGATCTGGTAGGCATTCATTTAATGGTTTATTGTCTGATGAATTCAGTTGACGGAAAGTACTCATCCATAGATGATAGGAATAACAACAAACAGTTCAACAAATTCATTCACTTACCCATGTACAATCGAAATTATATATAATTATTTTTGTATTTGTGTGTGTGTGTGCATTCAGTTCATCAAACGAGAATAAAAATTTGTTTATTTACATCATCTAAATGTTTCAGTACACTGATGAGTAATCAAATTGTAATTATAGGGGTTACGTAACATGAAAAACGTTCAGGAAAACAGCATGAAGACAAGTAAAAATAAAACTAATTATATAGTCGGTGAAGGTTAGTTAAGATATGATGTTAATAAATGTCATACGAAAACTGACAGTGGAGGTGTATATATTTAAAACAAAATATTGATTAAAGTTGAGCTTGCAGTTAAATACCACCTGTCAAGGCAAAAAGAGAGGGGATGGAGAAATTCCTAAATCAGGTTTTCGCCCATCTGAATCGCTAAGGTCCCAACAATGTAAAGTATGCAGAAGTATACTACCACTTTTGGGAGGCTTTTTTTCCCCTTTGTGTGTAACTTTGAATTAATTTTGCCCCTGTAAAATGTAAGATGCTGCTACAGGACTAGACTACGTCTACTCCTAGCTTAGTGATAGGGAGTGAAGTGATAGAACATGTTGACCACTTCACCTATTTGGGAAGTTGTATCAGCACGGATCCAAAAAGCTCGATCTGCTTTCGCGAACTTGCACCATCTCTGGCGTAGGCGTGACATCCGGCTATCAACCAAGGGACGTGTGTACTGCTCATCAGTTCTCTCTGTCCTTCTCTATGGTGGTGAGACGTGGCCATTGAGAGCGGAAGACATGAAAAGATTGTCTGTTTTTGACCACAGATGTTTACGATCTCTTTCTCCCGTTATGTGATATAATAAGGTAAGTAATGTCGACGTTAGGCGTAGAGTGTTGGGCAAAGAGGGAAAGTCACTCGAAGAGGCTATGAAGTTACATAGATTGAGATGGCTAGGTGACGTGCTGCGCATGCCTAAACCATCGCCTCCCACGACGGGCATTACTAGCTGATATAGGTGCAGGTTGGAAAAGAGTAAGTGGTGGCCAAACAAAAACATGGCCTCATCAATCCATGAAATCCCTGACAGTTAAACTGAGTCAGGTAGGGAGATGCAGACTCCTTCCAGGTTGGGGCCCTCGGGACTCTAAGAATCAATGGCTGGAGACACTAGGTGACATGGCTCAAAATCGTTGTCAATGGCTTACGCAGATGTATTCAGTCTCTTTAACCTTCATATTCCTTTCTACCATTAATCATTCTGTTTCACTCTTATACTTGTCAAAACTTTATTGATTCACTTCACTCATTTTCTTGTCTACCTTTTTGTGCTATTTGGAACTTGGCAACTCGAACTGCTGCACTTCGGTTCCAAGTTCTATGTTGATTCCAGACAGACAGACATGTTGAATGACCAATGCTGAATATATATATATATATATATATATATATATATGACCAGTTATAGCACTCCTTATTGATCCATTGTGACCCTTCTTTAGTCAAGTGGGATAATGTTCCTTGACTCTTTTAGATGAAACAGGCATCGAACGACCTATATATCTCGTACGTGAATACACCTGAGTAGAATTGGTAGATACACATAGAAGTAGCCAAATGCATTAGTTTATGTTTAGAGTTATTGAAAAACAGTAGGTGGCCGGATAGTACCAATCTTAAGGTAGAGGAGACTTAGGGTGTCATTTTCAGGGCGTTTGATATTCTTTTCTTTAAAGTATCAGCCAGAAGATCGTCCTCGAACGCCACATCTTCTTCAGCACCGAGATGGGCATAATCTTTGTTGGCTTTGTGTTAATCTATTAGGTGTGGTCAGCAGCTATTCCCAATTCGTGTCCATCTACTGACTTCAGGGCTGCGGATTCCTGGGGTCTTACTCTTTGGAGATATTATCAGGTCCCGCTTGCAATTGATGCGTATCCTAATGTAAAATGTCGTTTACTGGCCGTTCCACATAGGCTTTCTATGTACTGATCTGTTCAATTTCCTTGCAACCTTTTTTAATCGAGCGTCCAAAGTGGAGATTGTTTGTCGGCTTTCTACCTAGATTTTAAACTTGATGGCTGGATGGCAACTATTAGAAACTTGTAGGACATTATTTAGGTCACGTTTATTATCATCAACGTCCCTTTCGTACAGAAAACACACCTGTCCATAGTCGATTTCGACGAACCGTTTCTCGAACTTTGTCATTAAAATAAATAAATAAATATCTGCAAGTATCGAACCTTAATAGTGATCGCCTAGAGGTACGCTTTCTTGCTATGTGTAAACAACACTGGGATGGACGTTGAAAGTGTACTTTGATTGGACACTAGTAACTGACTATTGTGACGTGCCTAGTCCTTTCTTTCGTGCAGACTGAATTCTATCAGTCAGTCAGGTTTGCAATGTGGCCAGCATGCCACTAGGTAGCTCGCCATCACTAGGTGCACATTGATTTGATGATATTAGATAGTTGGAGGCAATCGGCACAAGGCCTTGCTTGACCTGGGTTTCGTGCTAGTTGGCACTCGTCAGTAGTCTTACAGGAGGTCAATGGCGAGCCCGAATAGCTCAGTGGTAACGTCTCTGACTGCAGCACTGGGTGGTGACTCTGTCTTGAATCTCAGAAGGGATATGAGTTCCTTTAAGACTGAAGATATACCTTACTGACTGATGCGTAGCAACTAGCACAGAACCTAGGTTCAATGCTTCCTGTGACCGATTGCCTGTAACCACCTGATAAGTTGAAAGTCACGTTGAGAGTCACAGTTTGATTATTCATTATCAGCGTATTGAAACATTTTGATGATGTAAAAAAAATACTCCAAATAAATTTTTATTCTTGTTTGATGAACTGAATGTACACACACACGAAAATGATTAGATATGATTTTCATTGTACAGAGGTAAGCGAATGAATTCGCCGAAAATAAACTCTTCTCTGAGCGCTGTTTGTTTTTGCTTTGATGAAAAGTAGAACAGGATGTGGAAATGAACACATGTTGTTTTTATTGATGATGACGTTTCGCCCACCACTTATTACTCATAATCATATCAAAGTGGTACGATTACGTAACCAGTTAATAATACTTACTGTACGATTGTACAGTTAGTTTTCTTAAAGTTCATAGAAATGCCTATAAGGATCAATTATTTGTATCAGTCCGTGGGCAAAACATGTAACCACATTTCAGGGGAAAAATTTGATAATTAAATTACAAAAGTCGGTCAAGCAGTTTTACGTAGTCTAAAAAGATTAAATAATGACTATCGTTCAGAGAATGATTACCTCGTTACAGCTGTGGGCAGTCATTCGCATTGTAACATATAGAAAATCAAGACAAGTGATTCACTGGAGAGACTCTTTTCAACGAATTTATTATCAAGCTGTACAGTCGTATATATATATATATATATAGTCATAGTGTAACAACAGAAGACAAGGGCCAGGCAACAGATCATTTATTAAGGAAATCAACGCATATTTATATATTTTCATGTACATTATTATAGTTTAGTTAAGTAAACAAACACAGTCTTCTGATTGGTTGTTTCTCACGTAAAGTTAATCTTTTATCTCTTTGTGACTGTTTCTTGAATGTAAGATCATCTATATGTTAATTGCATCCGCCTACGCAAAGTCTGCTGTGGTCGGTTTTGAATCAGTCTTTGTTCATATTTTCTCACGACAAATCTTGAGAACGTAAACATTGACGTAAATTACTGTCTACCAATTTGGCTAGTAGACAGCTCTCACCACAATAGGTGTGAATGCATAAAATAATAATCGTAGGAAATGCAATTAAAATGTAGATATGATGGCGAAGATTTCTAGCTCAGCTGGACGCTTTTGATATAGTTATGTTCTCTGAGTTGGATGGTTTATTTGCGAGGCTTTCATCGCCCTACTAGGCAACATCTACAGCGCATACTTCAAATTGAAGTATTAAGACCATGAAAATTGGAGAATAGTTGAACGAACTTTTTTCAGTTTTCACAGAGATCTGGCTTCTCTTTGTTCGATGGCTAAAGCTTCAGCAGTACAAATGAGTCGGCTACGTAGTGATTTGGACAGATTGCTTTTCGCCTTTTATAGATGACTTTAAAGACTGAGGCTGTAGAGATATAGGGTGGTCAGAATCGACCACAAGATAGATGTTCAACCATCGCACTTCTTATTGTGCTCCATAGTGTTCTTGCACCCTCTTGGAGAAAACTCGAGTTGAACGACCGATATACCACACAAGCAGGTGAATTGATAAACGCACACAGAGAAATATTGTCTATCAGGGAGTAAGAGATGCAGAAAAAGTCACGAAAGTATTAATTACTCTAAGGTTTAAAAGTTTTAAATTAATATTCCTCTTTTTTTTTCTCTCCGTATATTGTACTGTATGCATGCATGCAAACCTTCATTGTTCTTGCCATATCATATCACTTATCCAGTTAACATTTTACATTTCATTTTCTGTTTGATTCAGCTCATTGAACTGATTAGTTCGTCTTCATGTATTTCTGGTGAATTACGCGGTAGACGGGTTCACTCACCGTCTAAAATTGATTCTCTACCAGCATGTATACCATCAATCAGATCACGATTGACTGTCGCCATGAATCTTAGAGACATCAGTTTAGTTAGTCCAGAAGACAATTCCGTGAAATGTGCTTCTACGCCTTCAGTGGGTTGTAGAATTAACAGCTTAGAGAATTCTCTCAGGCATATTAATGCTGGTGTAGCTTGTCGTCATCGTTCTTCGGATAAGGATAGTTTTGATGATGGCAACGAGAGTGCAACACCTCCTAGAAAATTTCTCTTCGGAAGATCACCGTGTCGTCCGGTACTTTCTGGAAACATCAGCATGGAAAATTCTCCAGCCAGCTCAACTTCTAGTGTATTTTTCCAGGTATGTATACTAACTACCATTATGTACATATTTATATATATATATATATATATATATTCCATTGAAAGGTATTGGGTTCCGATTATATAATTTATTTTACCCAGTAGTACAGTGTTGTGAATCGATGTTGAAATTATGTGTGGTGGCCGTCTTTTGTTAGCCGACAACAATAACAACAGCTTCTACCTATCAAGTCTTTAGTATTATTATTATTATTGTTCCCTTGGGTTCCTAGTGGAACATAGGGCTTCAACTGCACGTCTCCACTTGCTTCTGTCTTCTGCTGTATTTTTCACCTGCATCCATGTTAGTCCATACTGTTTCAGTTCCTGTTCACACGATCTCCTCCATGTCACCCACACTTCGACGTCCTACTCGCCGCTTCCCTTTCGGGTTCCACTCAAGTGATGGCCTGACGCGCGATGTCACCCAACGGCCTCCTCAGCGAGTGTCCAATCCATCTCCACTTTCTCCTGCATATTTGTTGGGCGATTGGTTCTTGTTTTGTTTGTTCTCATAGTTTCTTGTTGGTGATTCTTTCTGGCCATCTGATCTTGAGTATAGAGCGAAGACAGTTGTTGATAAAGGTCTGCAACAGGCTGTTGGAAATAAATATTCTTTGTGACCCACTGGCCAAGTTTCTGATCCATATAGAAGAACTGACTGACTTGACGTTTGTATTGAAAATCCGAATTTTGTTGTTGATGCAGGCTGAGTGAGGAACATTTCCAGATTGGTTTCAGGTTGATGAATGTGTTTCTTGCCTTCCCGATTCTCGATTTGACATCCTCATCCGTTCCTCCTGTAGTTGAAACAATGCTCCCTAGTTAAGTGAATGAAGTAACCTCTTTCAAATCTCTCCCGTTGATGGTGATTTTCGCTGGATGTTGCTGTTGTTGTTGTTGGTTGGTTATTTTCATAACCTTCGTCTTGTCTATGTTCACCTGGAGTCCTGTGTTTGCTGCTTCTTCGACCAGTTTGTCGGTTTTCGCTTGTAAGTCTTCGATTTTGTGTGACATCAGACATAAATCATCCTCGCGCGAAATCCAGGTCTTCTAGGTTCTTCACGTCGGTCCAGGATATCCCTGTCTTCTCGTTTCCCATTGTCTGACGCATAATACCAGTCCACCACAATTAGGAATATCATTGGTGATAATAAGCACCCTTGTCTGACTCCTGTGTTTACTCCAAACGCCTCTGTAAGTTTTCCGTTGTGGATCACTTGACATGTGCCGTGGTCGTGCAGCTGTTGAATAAGGTTGATGAATATTTGGGATACGCTATAGTAATCGAGTACTTTCCAAATTACTTCGCGGTCAACGCTATGGAAGGCCTTCTTAAAGTCTATGAAGGAAGTTGAGGTAGAGGTTTGACTGCCATTCCATGCTTTGTTCTGTGATGATGATGCGTAGAGTTGCAATTTGGTCAGAACATGATTTGCCTTTCCTGAATACTGCCAGCTTGTTCATCTTCTTCCGTCCTCTTCATCTGGGTCCACGATTGCCCATAATCTCCAATCTCTTCCTCCCTAAACGATCTCCTCTATGTCACCCTCTCACTGACGACTCACTTGTCACTTCCCATTTGCGTTCCACTCAAGGGTCTGGCGCGAGCGATGTCATTCAATGGTCTCCTCAATGTGTGCCTGATCCATCTCCATTTTCGCCTACAGATTTGTTGAGCGATCGGCTCTTGCCTGTTGGTTTGTTCTCAGCCGAAGTTTCTTGTTGCTAATTCTTTCTGGCCAACTATTTGATCTTCAGGAAGGAGCCAGCGAAGGGGGCATCCATCTGTTGATAAACGTCTGCTCTATGAATGTCAGTTGTGATAAATTACACTTCCGTTTTTACTCATTATAGAGAAACGTCACTATTGTCGATAAAAATAAGCAAATTTCCTAGGTTGTTCCTTTTTTTTCTTCATTCTCCAGATCCAATTGCGTGTATCATTTTCTTTGCCCAACCATTTGTCGATAGATAGCAGTGTCGAGCATGTTGCACTACTTTTGTCGTTCATTATACACGAGTGAACTAATTTTCTTCTTCTGTTTTCAGGTCTGTTCTCTATGCGTTAAATCCCACTTGTTAATGTAAAATTTTATGATATTGTCTTTCCTATCCGACCAGTTGTTTTCCCGCTAATAAATTAGGTCGTGTTATAATCCTGCTTTAATATATATATATATATATATATATATATATATATATATATAGCAGTTGAAGCCCTATGTTCCACTAGGAACCCAAGGGAACAATAATAATATATATATATATATTGAAGCAGGACTTCAGGTGAACATAGAGAAAACAGAGGTGATGAAGATTCCTGGCCAACACCACCAACAGCAACAACAACAGACAACAATCAGCCATCATAAATATGAGGAACCCGAAAGAAACAACCTCCTTTACTTACCTACCTGGGAAGAATCGTTTCAACTACAGGCGGACGGAACTGACGAGGATATCAAAGCAAGAATCGGAAAAGCAAGACAAGCTTTCACTACTCTCAAGTCTGTGTGGAGGTCAACAGCACTCAGCATCAAAATAAGATCCGGATTTTCAACTCCAATGTGAAGTCAGTGCTACTCAACATACGGATCAGAGACTTGCACTGCGCGTCATAAAGAGCATCTCAAACAAACTACAGACCTTCATTAACAGTTGTCTTCACTCAATACTCAAGATCAGATGGCTGGCCAGAAAAAATCAGCAACAGAGATCTCTGGCAATGAGCGAACCAACACAGCAGGAACCGATTGTGAAACAAATAGGCAGGAAGAAATGGAGATGGATTGGCCATACTCTGAGCAAAGAAACCATCAAGTGACATCACTAGACAAGCCATTGCTCGAGTGGAACCCGAAAGGGAAGCGGCGAGTTGGTCGTCAGTGCGAGGGTGACATGGAGGAGGTCATGTGAAGAGGAGATGAAAACGTGTGGACAGACGTGAAGCTAGGAGAAGACTCTAGCTGAAGCCCTATGTTCCTCTAGGAATTAAAGGAAACAATAATAGTAATTATATATATATATATATATAAGTGTTTTACACTTTGAACTTTTTTAATTTCCTGAATGCTGATAATACTAATGATGATAATATATTAATTTCTTTCAGTCCGATCTGGATCCAAAACGATTGGCTTTATTAGGCAATACGGCTCATTTGATCAAGCTGCTAAATCAAATAATCAATGATCGTGATATGAACCCGCGTAGGAAAATGAAATGTCTTCAAGATGTAAGTTCACTGTTACTACTCCTCTGGCTCTGTGATTTATCCTACAAACTATTTCTGACCACTTGTGTACTCATTATAGTTTGTTATGGATAATAAGGTATTCAATTTTCGTTCATAGTAGGCACTAGTTATGTTTTCATATTAACTTGTCTGTTGTGAAACATTATCATTTGCTGGATGACGTTCCGAACACAACAGTCGTGTCATGTTCTAGCTATGCAACTTCTGGAGTCAAGTTTTGTTTTTGCCATTCTTCTTTCTCACTTGTCTTATGGGGGTGGGTAGCATAATTTTTGAGATGCCCGAGGCTGATGTTGAATCAGCCCATTTTGCTTCAGTTGTGTCAGTCTGCTGCTCCACTCTGTTGCATATTAAGCTTTAAGACTGTCGCCTTGTCCCATCCTCTTGTATTCGCTTTTTGTATAACCGCATTTAGTGCTATAACGGAGCTTCTTTTTTTTCTTCTAAATTTCTCATCGTACTAGAGTGTGCTCGTCTAAATTTCGCTTAATTTTTATGCTAGCTATTGCACTGATCTAGTTGATCCTGTCCTGTTACTTTGCCCTATTTATTGCGCCTCAATTATTGCTAGTGGGCTTTATAGAATCCCTTAACCAACATAGGTTTCCGTAGCTTGGAATGACAGTTTTATTCCTATTGTGTTAAGAATTCTACATAAGGCTTCAGATGTTCCTTCTTCATATATATAAGCTGCGTTATTCACGTTAACCAGTGAAAAATGAAGTTATACGTTACCACAGTGTCCAAGTTTTACACATACTAGATCTGGTTATGGACTCATCTGCTGAAGTTTTAGGTGACTGGATTACGAATTCACCCTGGTCTCTACATCCTTTTCTAATCTTATGTTTATATTTCAACTCCAGTCTTCATTCTGAATCCGTTAAAATAAGACAATATAATAAGTCAGTCATTCCACGTCTTTACACAAAATAGACCTAGCTCTCTTCAACTTATTTACCATTATGAAGTATTGGTTTTTTGTAGGGATTGTGTTTGATTGGTTGAAAGGTTTCACCATGAGCTAAGCATCAGTTAGACAACCATTGGAAAACCACCTGGGAGTAATGGACAGCTGTTTCGTCCTAATTTAGTACTCTTCGTCGGCGACCATACCACGTTGAAAGCACCGGTTCTCGTCCGATCACCGAAGTTAAGCAACGTTGGGCCCGGTTAGTACTTGCATGGGTGACCGGCTGGGAATACCGGGTGTTGCCGGCTTTTTTGGTGGCATAGCGGTTAGGACGCTCGCCGACCATGCACATGGTCCGGGGTTCGATCCCCGGCCGACGAACTCCCTCACCTCACTAAGCCAGTAATAATTCTGGTGAAGAAGTAAGGTTGGGCATAAGGCTAGCAACCCCATCTTGTAAAATAAACACTGGTACAGAAACTTCAAGCCACTAGCTTGAAGCCCTATGTTCCACTGGGGAACGTGAAGGAAAAAAATCAGTACGCACTCAGCGGGGTGCGAACCTAGGACCTTGTGGCCAGAAGGTCCTGGGAACTAGGAACTAAAGGAGACAATAATAAATAATAATTATACTGTAACACGTACAATGACGATGACTAAGTAGACTAAACAGGGGTTTCGATACAGTTTAGTTCTTATTGCACCACAGGTCAGATTGTGTACAGGTCAAGGTCACAAATAGGAGACAGGAAGATGATGATCTAAGAATACGGGGTAAGAAAAAAAGAAGGAAGAGGGTGAAAATATCACTAAGTAAATGAAACCTTGGTTGTAAATTGGATTACCAAAGTTGTTGATTCATAGTAATGACAAATAATTCTTGTACACATAAGACGACAGATTTAAACCTTTTTATAGTCAAGGCTTCAACGAATTTATGTATGTGACCTAAATTTGTTTTATATATGGGTTTAAATGCATTATTGAATCAACCTTGTGACCCGTCTCTATAATGCGCTTCATTATAGGTGATGTTTGACAACTACTCCCACGATCGATCAGTTGTTTCCGGTGATTTTATTTGTTGCTACAACCACTTTGTAGTGTATTCTGTAGGTCTAACCTTCAAAGACCGATAGGTCCTTCCTGTGTACGTGTGTCCACATGCACTCAGTGCACTTAGTGATTTGATAAGCATTTTAAGTGTACTATAACATTTCGCTTATAGTTAATAGTGCGTGGGTGGCACAGTGGTTACGACTCTCGCCGACCATGCACATGGTCCGGGGTTCGATTCCCTGCCGACACACACCTGATATCAATGGTCGGCCTGCAAAATTTGGGCTACCGATATCAATTGCTGAAAATTCCATACTTGTACCAAAAATACTATGTGGAATAAAGCTGTAATCAAAAATAAAAATAATTGTAACAGTATTAATGATAATTTAATCACTTTATTCGGAATCCTTAATAATATTCTCATTATTAATATTAGGTCAAGACATATAAGCGAACAGTTAGATCTTCAGACTTTACTCTAATTTACATAGGTTTACATATGAAGCAGTTTAACCAATAGCGGTGAGTTTGTGGATCAAATAATAATAATAAGGTTTATGCAGGTGGCGATAAGAATAACAAAGGTAGTAATATGTGTATGTGTAGGCGAAAGAGTCAGCGGTGATCAAACCAAAACATGGCTTTATCAGTCAATGAAATCCACAACAGGAAGGTGTAGACTCCCTGGTCAAGGTCCTCGGGACGGTAAACACGAATGGAGTCTGGAGACAATCAGTGATATAGCTCAAAGTGATCGTTCTCAATGGCTGGTGCAGATGCATCCACTCCCAATAAAACTATATTGTTCTTCGTTATTACTATTCTGTTTACTTTACATCTCTGTATACTGTCTCTTTTTTACTTTCTTCTCTGGCTTTGTGTGCTACATGGAGTGTTGTGACATGAACTGTTGGACATCTGTGCAAAGTTCCATGTTGAAACCAGTCAGTCAATCGGTGAATGTAGACATTTCAATAAATAAATTAGGTCATATCTTAAAAGTTACGTAATACAAGAGGTGAAGTGGACAGATAATCAAAGTTTGAATAAATATCATAAAAGTACGAAGGAAATGGAAAATAAGAAACAGTGGGAGGGTTTTAATTACTGATTTCAATTCTTGATAAGTTCTTTTCTGACATCTGACTCTCTCTCTTCACGCAAAACCCGTGCTATAAATATGGTACTGCAGAATTCTTATATTTTGTTGTACGACCATTTCTCATGGAATTTCTTCTGCTTTTAGCCAAGGAAAGAGGCACAATGAGTAAGCTGCGAATGTTTTGCCATCAGACAAGATGACTTTAGCTAACTGGTTGCAAGAATTAGAATCCCTATTCAGGCAGGTAGTTATCTGGGGTTCCAGTGGGAAGTCGTGACCAGTAGGGTGCAGCAGGTCAGGTGTGAGGACAAATACTCGTCGAAGACTTTGGCTAGCGGTTGCGCTATGTCGTCGAGGTAAATCGTGAATTGGCAGAAGTTAGAATTCATGGGCCATTGGATCGGATCCCAGTGGCTTAATGGTATGCGAGCTTGCCTTGTAACAAGAAGGTCCTGGTGTGTGCGTACTGATGAAGAGTCCCAAACTAGGTGAACGAAACAGCTGCCCAGTACTCCCTGCAGTTTTTCCAGTGTTTCTCTAACCAATGTCGGCTCATGATGAAATCCTACAATCATTTAGAATCCCTATTTCAACACAATAGTGTCAGTCAGTTGAGTCAAGGGTACACTGTTGGCGCTTATTACAGTCTGCAAAGTCCTACGTCACATGACATAGTCTTTTTTTGAGAAGCCCAGAGAAGAATGAGAGCGAATAATAAATAAGCACGGATAGAATAGAGGAATTAATAAATTGTAAGAGAAGAGGGGTTGACTTGTGCCAGAATGTCTTAACCTCTTTATGTAATGAGTCAAACAAAAATAGGAACAAAGTAGATAATACGAAATTACGTAAGAGTTCTAAATGAATACAAGAATTACAAGCAATTAAAGAAACAGGCAAGCAAACAAACAAAACTGAGTCATGAAAAATCAACAAGCGATATTCACAAGAGAAGGATCACAACATCTCTGTGAAGAACATTCTTTGCACCAACACTAAGAATAGTTCTCTCCAGTCGCCCACTGATCTGCAGAAGCCTTAAGGACAAGATCCCGCATCTGACCACTTCTTTGTACATATATCAATGCATCTGCTGCTATGGAGCCAGGTACGTAGGTCGTTCGACCCTCATCATGTCCACCATGGTTGCGAAAAGGCAATAAGGAGTGCAATGATTGAACATCTGGTTAACACTGATCATTCCATTTCAACAAACGCCTCCTATTTCAAAGTAATTAATCTACAGAGTCAAGAATAACCTACCGAAGGTAATACGGTTTCGTCTTTCTTGTATCGCTGAAACTCTAGCCATTCACATAGGAAAACTGGAGCTGTGCATACAAAAGAGGATTACTCAACCACTTCTACTGTCTTGGTAACAACTTTTTTATTTCATTTTGATGACTTAATTTTGTTTCTTTGCCTGTTCTTTAATTGCTTATAATTCCTGTATTCATTTAGAAATCCTACGTAATTTCGTATTCTCTACTTTGTTCCTATGTGCATCCTGAGTAAAACTCACTCATCAAACTATTCATATTATTACATAACTTCTTTTAACAACTGATTGTGACAACTCATCCCCTACCTTTATTACTACCCTAATTCCACTAACACCTAATTTTCTTGACTGATTTTGTATTACGTAACTCCAATTACCAATCTTCACCTGTTTAGTTTAAATAACTATAATCAATTGTATTTTTCTTTGACAAACTTAATGTACACAAACATACAAAATAACCTATCTATATATTTGCGATTGTACAGCTAAGAAAATAAATTCGCCGCCGAAAAGAGACTCTTCGCTGATCTACGTGTTTTGTTTTCATTAATGCCTGGATGGGGATTATACATGAAGTTTTTGTTTTTGTTTAATTTTTCCTTTATATCCTCCTTATTCACCCGCGTAATTATTATTATTACTATTTTTTTTTTATAATTGTCATTCCACATAGTTCCGTAAGTCACATCCAGATGTGTTTTGGTTGCGTTTCGGCAGTGAACAAACCGCCGCAAGCTATATGTCTCGTTTACAGCGTCGTATCGATTCACAATCTCATCCTAGTGTCTTCGAGAGAATTACAAACGCCCTACGACGTCGGCGTCAAAGTCCACTGAAACAACAGGATCCACAACGAAACGGTTTTATTAGCTAATACATCTTAGTAACTTTGTTTTTATTTTCCTTGTTGGATGGATGGAAAAATTCATCCCAACTTTAGATTACTCATACTGACATTTTTTAACACTGATATTTACATACATTTTTAAAATACTTTAAAACTTACATAAAAATAAATCACTTTATTTTACTAGCTGTCTATATCTTTTCTCTATTGTCATGCGTGATTAACGGTTTTACAGAATTACAATATGCAGTGATGAGTATAATAATAATAATAATTCAATATGAACTGTGATCAAGGCTTGACTGAATAGTTCCAAAATAACTGGGTGCCAAGTGAGAAGTAGACATTTGTAAACGAAAAAAATTATATTTGTAAAATCTCAGCGAAATTGAAATGAGTAATTCCAACGTTTCCTGCGTTCGGCGAAGTGGTCGGTCCGAACTTCTTCAGGGAAATTAATCGAAATTAACATAACAAAAGTTTATATATAAAAGGAACATCACTTGTTTTTAAAAACTTTGTCCAGTCATATGAGTCACGAAGCAGTCATAAAAATATAATAAACAAACAAAATTGTATGAAATATTTACTTTTCAATTAGATCCTCATCTCTGGCTCTACTCTAATATACATAGCATTTTTATTACAACACACAACAGTTTACCAAACAAGTATTATCCCTAGGCACCAAGTTTTGTGATAATCATGTTAGAATTAACAAGATGGATATGCAAGTACAGTTCGAAAACTTCTTTGCACAAACTGAAGGCTTGACACCCTCGTCAGCTGAGGCAGTTGAAAGTCTTAGATCAACTCTAGTCGACTGTTGTTATAAATATATAAATAGTAAACGGAAACTAAATAGCTTATTGACCAAGAAACACAGGGAAGCCCTAGATAAGCTGCGAAATAATGAGAATATATCATAATTTCGAAACCTGATAAAGGCTCTGGAGTAGTAATAATGAATAAAACTGAATACATAGATAAGATGAATGGAATACTCAGTGATCATGGAAAATTTGAAATAATTACATCTTCCGTCGATCCGACAGAAATGGTGGAGAAACAACTAACTGAGTCACTAAAAAGACTTAAACAACAAAGTAGCATGATAGACGGTTTATATGAATCTTTAAAGCCTACTGGCACGGTTACACCAAGATTATATGGACTACCAAAAGTGCATAAAATCGGTTTACCGCTTCGACCAGTGCTGGATATGTGTAATTCCCCATATCATGCAACAGCTAAATGGCTAGTGAAGCTGCTGGTAAAACATAGCGTAAATGGCAGTTTTGAATTTGTTGACAAAATAAGAGATATTAATGTGAGGGACAAGTTGATGATATCTTTTGATGTATCCTCCTTGTTCACCAATGTACCGTTAATGGAGACAGTGGATTTTATATGTGGGGAGATTACTACACGAAACATAGACATCGGGATTTCTAAATCCACCTTGAAGGAACTTATTTTAAGATGTACAATGAATGTTCATTTCTTATTCAATAAGGAATATTACAGACAAATTGATGGTGTAGCTATGGGTTCCCCATTAGGTCCAATCCTAGCTGACTTTTTCCTCGCTAAATTAGAGAATGAACCATGCTATGTATATTAGAGTAGAGCCAGAGATGAGGATCTAATTGAAAAGCAAATATTTCGTCGCTCAATCTTTCTGTTTTCTAAATGTCTAAACGGGGATTTTTTCTATATTGAAAATTGTATGAGCTGTGATCAAAATTTGACCTGAAACTTACAAATATTACAAGTTTGACCACGGATTGATATCAATTAGAGGACCATTCAAAACTAGGGAGTACTGGACAGCTGTTTCAGTTGTCCTAGTTTGGGGAATCACCAGCAGTAATCTGGATTTACCATGCATCAGCTAACATTACACTTTCACATCTGCTGAAAACTGTTGGCACTCACCCATATATGCAAAGCTTCTGCAGTCAGTCTTTCTTTATACGAACCAAAAAGTTTCTGTAGAATCTTAATCCTATCAAAGTCGGTCTTGTGTCCCCGTGTCTGTCGAATGCAGTGCACTCGCTGCTCTGTTTTCTAGTTTCTTGGAGTCTCCAGAGGTCTTTCGAACCACCTTTAGACATTTTATATGCTATTTGACTCTTATAGTTATCTGTCTGGAAGTTCCTCCTCCTACATTTACGGCGTATAAGCATGCTTGAAATTAGGCTTGCTTTCTGTAAGCTTTTCCGTTCAAGGTCATTGACTGTTGCTGATATGAAGACTAGAGTTAAATACTGATTTTATTCCATATATCACGCGCACATACGCTTTTTGCTCATTTCACGGTGACACTAACTAATGCTCATGATCGTCACAATGTGATATAATGACAAGCTACCTAACTAGACTTTCTTATTAATATCTCCAAAATCTAGGATCCAATTGAACTGACATCTGTGTCCCAGATTTTCACGAGAACTAGGCATACAATCCGACGATGCTGGTAAGTGAGTTGAATGTCGCATATTCGCCATATCGGTTAGACGGGGCTGGCTGGCTGGTTGGATTCAACATAGAACTTGACACCGAAGTGCAGCAGTTCGAGTTGCCACCTTCCAAATACCACACAAAGGTAGACAAGAAGATGAGTGAAGAGAATCAATAGAGTTTTGACAAGTATAAGAGTGAAACAGAATGAGTAATGGTAGAAAGGAATATGAAAGATTACAAAGACTGAATACATCTGCGTAAGCCATTGACAACGATTTTGAGCCATGTCGCCTATTGTCTCCAGCCATTGAGTCCCAAGGGTGGGCCCCAACCCAGAAGTTTGCATCTCCCTACCTGACTCAGTTTAACTGTCAAGGATTTCATGGATTGATGAGGCCATGTTTTTGTTTGGCCACTACTTACTCTTTTCCAACCAACCTGCACCTATATCAGCTAGTAATGCCCGTAGGGGGAGACGATGGTTAGGCATACGCAGCACGTGACCTAGCCATCTCAATCTATGTAACTTTATAGCCTGTTCGAGTGATTTTCCCTCTTTGCCCAACACTCTACGCCTAACGTCAACATTACTTACCTTATTATACCACCTAACGCGAGAAAGAGATCGTAAACATCTGTGGTCAAAAACAGACAATCTCTTCATGTCTTCTGCTCTCAATGGCCACGTCTCACCACCATAGAGAAGGACGGAGCGAACTGCTGAGCAGTACACACGTCTCTTGGTTGACAGCCGGATGTCACGCGTACGCCAGAGACGGTGTAAGCTAGCGAAAGCAGCTCGAGCTTTTTGGATCCGTGCTGAGATTTCGTCACCAATCAATCCATTGGCGCTGATACAACTTCCCTAATAGGTGAAGTGGTCAACATGTTCTATCACTTCACTCCCTATCACTAAGCTAGGAGTTGACGTAGTCCAGTCATTCCTGTAGCAGCATGTTACATTTTACGGGGGCGAATCGCATGCCAAACATACGAAGATTGCTGCTCAAGGTGTTCAAAAGTCTCTGCATTTTGTCAGCATCCTCCCCTAACAGGACTATGTCATCTGCATATTCTAAGTAAGTCCATAAGACTATTCCCTGGTAACAAGTCGATTCCTAAGTCGTTAAGTTCAGTTAAGGATACTTCCATTAGCATATTTATGATGAAGTTAAACAGAAAAGGGGAAAGTGGACATCCTTGACGAACACCACTGGTTGTTATGAATTCAGATGACAATTCCCCATAAGCCCTTACACGGCTACATGAGTTTGAGTAGAGGTGCCTTGATTAGTGCAATGTACTTTCTTGGCACTCCCTTCACAGTCAAACATTGCCATGGTACCTCTCGATCCACGGAGTCGAAGGTCGCCTTCAAGTCAAGAAATATGGCAATTGTTGGACGCCTAAAAGTGTGTCTATGTTCTAGGATCTGTCGGAGAGTGAAGATATGATCTATGCACCCTCTACCTGGCCTAAAGCCCGCTTGATTTTCCCTCGTTTGTTCCTCTCGAGTTCGGCTTAGTCTGTGCATGATTACTGAGCCTAGGATTTTAGAGACTATATTCGTCAGGCTGATTCCTCTATGATTATCACATGAGGACTTATCTCCCTTCTTGAAAATTGGTATAATAAGTGACTTACCCCAATCTGATGGAACCGTCTCTGATTCCCAGACGTTACCTAGTACCTTAGTTCAACTATATACTAGTAAGTCACCCCCATATATAAACACCTCCGGAATAATTCCGTCGGGTCCTGCCGCTTTGCCTCGTTTCAAATTACAGATAGCTTTGGTAACCTCACTTACAGACGGCGGGCCAGTGTCTATATCCCATTCGGGTGTGTGCTGGATGGCGGGGAGGCTCAGTGTGGCTGTAGGCAAGTTAAATTGTTCTTCAAAGTGTCCCTTCCAGCGTTCCAGGCGTCTATCCTGAAAACTAATTGAGGAGCCATTTTTCTCAGAAATAGCCTCACTTATGATTTGCCTTCTCCCACCCGTTTCCCTGATAAGTCTAAAGAGTTGCCTGATGTTACCTATCGCCGATGCTTTTTCCATCTCTTTCGCCTTTGTCACCCACCACTGTTCACGGTTCTTGCGGAGACTTTTCGTAAGTTTTCTTTTGTGCAGCTTTCGCTCCTCATTGAATTCGGAGCTCGCCGGAATAAGTCTTCTAGCATCTATCAGTTCGGACGAGGCAGTTGAAATCCAATGGTTTTTACTCACCTTTGGATTTACCTTATTCACAGCTTTTACAGCTGTATCTATGGCTGACTGAATATTCTTCCAGGCTTCTTCAGGGTGAGCGCAGCTGTCGAACTCAGATATGTGTTTAGCTAGCTCTTCCTCAAATAGGGACTTAGTTTCCTGATCGAGCTGGGGATGTGATGGGTTTACCGCCAGCTGTTTCCTACATCCATTCAGTCGTAAGCGCAGACCAGTGCGTGATCGGTATCTGCACACGTGTTCCAGAACGAGTGAAAATCTCCTACCGACCCACGCCAACGATAGTATATTGCTATGTGGTCTATTTGTGTCCAGCGTTGGTTCGATGATGGGG